GATTTTGTATCATATCTGCTTTGAGCTGCATCGGCAAATTTTCGAAAAGAATTCTGACCTTTTCTTCTTCTCCAGCGCTGACATGGGTTGCAGCAATGTAATCCAACACACCGTATACGTACGTCAAGGGTTCGTCAACTGCGGAATTTTTTGACATGAATTTACTGATATCTAAGTCTAACAGATTTCTACCGAAGATTTTTAAAATACCTGCTCTGCGTCGCAAAATTTTTTCAGTTTGGATTCGCTGTTCTTGAACCATTTTAAGGCAGCATTTGTCAAGCACAAACCGAAATGCACCAAAGACTGTTCATCGCTCCACGAAAAATAGTTCTTAATTCTGTTAAACCTGTCCATAAAATCTTCTGCAGATTCGGTGGACTGTCCACCAAATACTGGTAAATCTCTAAGGCGAATTCCTGCCATCTCACGTACAAGCACTTTTTTTAAACATAAATTTATGCAATCAGAGATTTTTTAATCATCAGCAACAAAAAAATTCAAGAATCGCATTTTAAAGGGGCATGTCAAAACGATCGGTTACGACGATTTACAGATTCGCTCTTTCTGGTACGTCAGCAGGACTTTTGACTTGCGCAGATAAAAAACTTAATTATTCTACAAATCGAGATATTTAAGAGTTAATTAAATTTTTTTCCAAAATTAATGGCATGAAAAGACGGCATCGAAATATACCTAAATACGTACTTAAGTATTACTGTTTCTACTCTGCTGGTCCTGCTTATAAATATTTCCTTCCAAGCGGGTCTCACCATATACGCTGTATTTTTTACATGCAAAAGAAATCGAAAGAATACAGGGAAAATCCGCAAACAATCTAGAGCACACACTGTTAAAATGATCGAAATCCCTTATAGTAAGCTGATGATTTACGATTCTAGTAATATTAGGACTATCTTCTAAGGTCAACTTAATCATAAGATCAATTTTCATCATTAACCAGTTAATAACAAACATTCGTCCGAAGTCAACTAAATGACTATTTTTGACACAAACTTTATTTTAAAAAAACAAACTGAAAGCAACTGCACATCATTATTAACTTATCCTGTTTAAAATATGTCATGAACAAAAGGACCCACGAAAAGAAAGCAAAAATGATAAGTTGCCATACGACTTACAGAGGAATGCCGTTATGTTGCTCCCGTTAGTTGTCGACCACCTGCACCCGCTTCCGCTCCAACACACCTATCGTTGTACGCTCCGACAAAAGAACCGCAGAACACCGGCACCAACTTATGCACTAACGAGCCTTAAAACATTCACCGACGTCGTTTGTAAGCAGTGCAAAGTATTCTTACTTGATATCGCTCTCCCACTCGCTCATACAACGCGTGGCTTGCTGTAAGCGACACTTGTGACCTTTCACAATCCGCACTCGTCGCTCGTCTCACAGCGTCCACAATGACACAATATCAATCAGCAAATATAGCACCAGAATAACTCTCACTGTTGCCGCACAATTAGCACTCATAGTGGTATTGCGCTCACCACTACTAATAAACTCTCACTTGCAACAGGACACACTCACTGCTGCTAGCAAAACTGCTTCTCTAAAAAATCTTGCAGTGGTCATAAACTCACCACTACTAAAATATGCTGACCTTTCCTCGCAGCTCCACACCTTCAGCTACCTTTACTTGCTACGCACACATGCCCTCCATGTCGCGTAACTAAAGGTTCTGATCGACTCGGTGGATATAACCTTTATCTACCACTAACTACAACGCTAAACAACAGCGGCTGATCCGACCCGATGACCTTTAATGCAGATTAGCAGACAACAACTCGAATGCTAACAAAATGGCATGCAAAGATAAAGGCAGATATTCCAAGAGAAGTTGTTCCGAGGCTGGATGGAGATGTACTAAATCATTTGACAACTTCATCGCACACTACTTTTTTAGCCAGGCACTTAATACATGTTACGAGAGATAAAACATTGCAGACAACAAAGACACACTATTGGTTCACACAATGATTCATTCCTTTCTTCACGCTCAATCATTTGCTTGTTATCGTCAAACCACAACCTTTGACTTGCTCACAATAACAAACTATCCTGCACTCAACCACAACAACCAACCGCATTCAACCGCATCCGCAACTGTATCCATTTTAAGCACGCCCGTTATGATGATGAATATGTATGTGATTCATGATGCATGCTGCTCATGACCCACAGAACACGCTTGCGCTATATACTCGCGCAACACATTGTTTTTAAAATTCCACAAAAATTATCAAACTTTAGTGCTGGTCCTGCTGGATCGAAATATGGGGTGCGGAGGGAACACCGTTCGCGGCGCCGCGCTGTAATGTTGTTACGGGGCTTACACCGCCAGGCATTCTCGCAGTGTCGGCCTATTTTGCCCATGTAAGTGTTATAATCCCCGGTGCAGGAAAATACCGGGTATGCAAGCTACTCTTCTGGGAACATCATGTACCTATTGTGTTTACGTACCTCCGTTCTCTTTCGATTCTCCCTGTGGTAAACCTGGTAACAGGTGAAGGATCCACTGTGTATGGTTGTTGCAGTTAACAGCTTGCGGTAATTCATAATATTCATTGAATTGTCCCTCAAGCTTACGCAAGCCCATAGCGGACGACAGCTTTATTAAACAGTTTCACTCTCGAATTTTAGCTGCAGCTACTGTCGCATTAGCACAGTTACTCGTAGTGACGGCGAACTGCTTGGTACATGTTAACTACCAGCAGCTTACAATAAAATAAATTTAAACCTACATAAGAGCGAGCGGGTAGCGCTCGACAGTGGATGACATTGTGAAACATAGGTGACTTTTCACAACGCAGAATCTTATTCCGGCTTCTTGGTTAAGAAATGCATATCGTACAACTGGCGTTTTTAATTTCAGTGCAGACTATTCCTTTATTCTTTTCATCGTCCCATGTCAGAAGGGTGTAGGCAATAAAAACTCCAATGAGCTAAAATTACAAGACGCAATAATTATTATTTACTGATATTCATTATTGTTGAAACCGTAAGTGGTAGCCGACGGGCAATGCCAAGAGGAACCTACGCCTATAACGAATTCCCGGTTAATGTCCAACAGTCCACCAAGGCTCAGGCCGATGTGTTCCCTGTCCATTAACTGCACTCTTACTGCCGCATTTCTTTTGTATTCTCCCAATGGCATGTCCAGAATGCGTGCAGAAATTACTTCACTCATCGCTGCCGCCTAGCGCCAAAAATCGCGCAAACATTAAATTAATAATTCCCTGTCAGACATTCGGAATTATATATACCGGCTACGCACTACAATGGGTGCTACGGTAGTATACAAAAATCCATTGAAATTATTTTGTTACGGAAGTGCTGACGAGAACGCAAGATGCGATCTACGGATGCAGAAGGTACCACACTATTATGCGCTAGCCGTTCCATGAGCCGCGAATACTTACCCGATGATGAGTTAATACAAAAGCAAGTGTCCTAATAATCGCAAGCAGTAACTGATATGCAACAAAGAAAACATATTCATGTGTTTTCATTTTTATAGTACCATCGCTCAGTATGCTGTTCAGAGACATAGCCCATGTAAAATCCGAAAGATACTGTAGCAAGAGGTACATATTCATTCTGTTCCGAAGTTCCTTAACGCGACTGCAGAGCACTGCATGCTGTTTGAGTGCAGTTTCACTGTCTACAAGGCTGGAATCCTCATACGTTTTGCAGAGATTCGAAAAGGTCAGCCCAAGTACGACAGTAAGGAAAATCAAGAAGCACTGCGCCAGTGCGGCCAAACAGTCGGTAATACCAGAGCACGCCAAAAGCATCCATAATGCCTTATCTTTCCAGCTCAAACGGAGCACTCGGGCGGTACTCATTAGTCCGTCTACTGTTGGGTACCAAGAAAACCCAAATAGGCAGAATAATATTAATACTGCGGCACGGAGCTGTTTTCTGTTCCCGCTGCTCAGACGAAGCTCGCATAAAGGCAACGATCGCTGTATCCAGATTTCAAAATCCCAGAAGGCGATTATTAAGCAGAGATACCCCAGAAAAGGCCAAATTCGACTGACAACCTTGATAAAGCTTTTCATTAGCAAAGCAGGCGACTCCAGAGCGAAGCCGATCTCCAATGTCACAAGGTTGTATAGAAAATAAATCATGGTTCCGATCAGAATTAAAGCAGAACAAATCGTCAACGCCCAGTCAAAGAAACACACAATTTTCGGATGCCCTTCCTGTCTCCGTTTTGGCCTTGCTACACTTCCCAGACATCGCATAATAAACAGACATAGAAAACAAATTTTCTCTAGATACGAGTAACTACAGTTATCAGGGATGTTGGTGTTCAACATTTTGGCAAAGGGCATTGTTTGACTGACGTTAACTGAGTCTTACAGCTTTGGCGCAACTATCCAGTCCTTGCAAAAACGCATACATATACTCGTATGATGGCGCATGCTCTCACGCTTTACGCGTAAGGATATTGTTAGCTTTGGTATGTAAATATTTACGGTTGCGGCGAGCAGACCTTTGGGAATTCACCCCATCCCCTCTTGTCAACTGATACAAAGCGACCCAGCGACACTAACTGGGTAATCAAAGCACATTCGAATCGCTACTGTAAGACATGTTGCATGTACTGCATTCTTGTTTGTTTCCTATTCCCGATAAAGATTCAGTCGATTCTGGAATGAGACTGGGCTAATGTACAGTATTTCTTATTATGGGTATAACGTTGTAAAATGGCCCTAGGCCTAAAATAAGCATAAACCTGCCGTGACATTAGAAATGTAGGAGCACCGTTTTACCACCAAAATACAGTACGAGTACTTACTGGTTAGAGCTTTATATAACAGCACGACATATACCTGTTGTACAGTACCTGCATATATACAATACAGAGTACTGTATCACACCGTATGAACGAATTTATGCCAGCATACATGACGGCGCTGAATTCTTCCACAAAGAATATTATTTTCATTATCAGTAGAAATTTGGCAGCATGTTGCGTGCAAAGGAAACCATAAAAAACTTTGTTTTATTTTTGTGTGTAGCAGCTGTGTAGCACAATGCTTCGAGCTTACCAATCCAAAAAGATTGGAGTTCCTGAACAGCAAATAAGCTATAAAAAATAGTACGTACACAAAACTCGTCGCTGCTCATTTTTTCAGATCATCTTGTACAATAGAGTTGCGGAGCGAACTGGTGGTTGATGGATCCTTTTTTAACCGGCTAAATTGCCGCTTAAAGCGATTCCCCCACCTTTGTAGAATCGGGCTGGGAATATTGGGATCGTTTGATAAAGAGATACTTTTTGTTCGACGAGCATCTTTGCGGATTTGATCTTCATCAACGAGCCAATAGGTCAAAAGGTCACCTTTGCCTTTCATGTGCACCACCCCTCGAGGCTCCAGCTGATAGCCTCCTAGACTATCTAGGAGGACCTTACACTGGGGACTGCAGTGAATCTTTTGAGCTGTAATTTACGGACATTGTGGATAAACGAGGTACTGCAAATAGTCTACTCACAAACTTTTGTATTTGCATCCACGGAAAACTTACGTAGACCAGTAGATTCATATCGGGAAGTCGTGTTTACGGTATCCCCAAACCTGCAGCAATATTAAGTAATCAACGGTGTACCTCGTGCAATCTTTGTAATAAATCTTTTACTTGCGATACACAGACAAAGCTTTCAGTGTCCGTACCAGTCTTTACAAATAATCAGATGTATCTAATCAACTTTAATATTACTTACAAGCAATATCGTGGCATTTTGCGCCCGATTACCTGTAAATAAAGTCAGCGCTTCAGTGAAGGGTCAATTGACGACCAACGTCGCTAGCTACAGTATTACACGTTTGCCGCCGTTTGCATTACACGTTTGCCGCTGCCAGTACAAAACCATATCCATTTCTCAGTCTTCTTTTAACAAATGGCAAAGTTCCAAAATTCAACCAACTTAGAGACGTACTCCAGTAACAACAGGACCACTGTGGATCCCGATCCGTAACAGAAGCGGCTGGTCAGGTCTGTGCTGAATACGAAAATGTTGAATTTCTTCCAGGAGATGTAGGGACATGCTGGCCACAACCCCAGCATGAGCATCACCGTTGCGTATAGGTAGCCCACTGCAAACCTAAATTTTGATGTCATTACGTTTTATTCACCATAAACTCGCTCAATCCTACCATGTAGCTATCTCCAATAGTTTCCACTTTGTATGCATCGTAATGCTCCAACAGAGAATCGAACAACGTGTAAAGGTCATTTAAAAACGCCACAACCTACAAAAGACAGAGACTTAAAACATGTGTCTTTTGCTCTTCTGTTAGGGAACTGACTCACCTCCATAGGAGTGCTCTCAGCGCTCATGGCAGTAAAACCCACTAAATCAGAGAAAAATATCGTCACGCTTTCGTATTGCTCGGCTTCCACTTTTCCCTGCTTTATAAGTTGCTCAGCCACCGGCCTGCAAAATATCACTGTTAAACGCTTACCCACAAACGATAAACTCTTATCCACAAACCAAAAATCTAGTAGTAATAAACTGCTATGCCATTTTTTCGATTGAGTACCTTGGCAGTATTTCGAACAAAAGCGTTTCCGTTTTCGTTTTCTCCTTTTCCAGTTCTGTCGTTCTTTCCGCCACTAACCCTTCCAGATTATTTGAATAGCGCTGCAAGAGCGCTAATACATTGTCCATAATGGTGGGCTTCCTACAAAAAGCCACGAAGAATGTTTCTCGTTTGTAAGGTATAGAAGCAAATGCGTTCTCTCACACTTGCAGCCGTTTTTTAATAGTTTGGAAATCTGGCCGCTGTGCAGGATCTTCACTCCAGCAATCAGTCATCACACTGACAACGTAATCCGGAACGTCCGATATTTCTATGAGATCCGCCGGTCGCGGTCGCAACGGTGCTCCAGGTCTTCCCGTTCTTAGAGCATTGATCAAATCTTGAGAGGTTAAACGGATTCTTTCAAACGGACCCTCGCGTGCATAAATTTCATAGAGTATTAGTGAGAACGAATACACATCGCCAGCTGGTGTGCCTGCTGGTGGACGATGCGGATCGCGGAGCAATTCGGGCGCAGTCCAAACCAGACGGTCAAAGTATTGGCGAAACTCGCACAGCTCAAATAGCGGATCGTAACTCGCACCGCGTCGGAATTCGTGCAGACCGTAATCTGAGATTTTCACGGTGAAACGGCTGTCTACCAAACATTTAGTTGGCTTTAGATTACCGTGGCTTTTTATTGGACTCATATGGAGATAGCACATTCCCTAAAAAGTAGCACACTGATGAATAAACGGTCAACCACCCATGGAACGGCTTGACTTTACCCTAACTATATCGCCAACCATAGATTCCATAAAGAGGCAATCTAAAACGGTCTTCTCATCGTACAGTACATCGTGCAAACTTCCTCGTGGACAAAACTCGGTTACAACACACACTGGCTCCAAGCTGGCACCAATAAAATTGCACAGGTTGTCATTGCGTAAACTATGTGCCTAAAAAATGAAACAGTAAGTCTTGACTTTTTTGTATTTTGTAATCTAACCTTTCTCTTTTCCTTGAGTACCTGTATAAGCTCTTTAATGGCTTCCGATGTCAACGTTACCTGCGGTTTCTTCAGTAACTTTACCGCAACAACACGATTATTGTAGAAGCCCAGTTCGGTATTGAGCTTTTTGGGTACCCGTACGTCAACAAAAACCGCATCCAGAAGCCGCGTCACCGAGGTCACACTGGTGGATATGGCGCATTCGCAACCGTCCTGATCCAATCCGTGTTCCATGTATTTTTGCATCTTCTCGACATTCAACTGTTCCCATTCAATCTTCCATATCCACATTGCGGCTTCCCGTTTGGCCAACTGATATCTGCGGCAAAACCCAGTAAAAAAGTAACTATTATGTTATTTATGTACAGTGGTTGCACGTAACCTGCACCAGTACAGTACGTTATTAATTAACTCATTTTCTTGTAACGTTATTAGTTAACTCACAAGCTTCTTGATTACTTGTGGCTTATTCAGCTATAGATATACTTACTCAACTTTTAAATTTAGCGTTTCAAATTTGCGAATTTAGAGTTGTACGGTAACAGAAACAAAGCGAATGATTTATGAAAGCGGGTTCTCTCGAAATGCTGTATAATACACTGCGACTACACACCTGTACAAGATCATTCCCGCAATCAGAGCAAAAACCACCAATACAAAGATACCGGCAATTCCCAGAATAAGGTACCAATGTGAGTATTTTTCGCCTTTAGACTGGCATTTCTGCATATCGAATCCACAAGCCGGTTCGTCAAGGGGAGCACGACCAAATGGGAAAGAAAACGTTTCGTTGTTTTTGTAGGCTAGAATCTGAAACAAAGTTATGCTTTGGTTATTAAACAAAGATACTAAAGTCGCAAACATTTTACGAGCATTTAGCGGCAACTGTGTTGACTGACCGGTAAGTCGCTTCTGTTGCGGTCATTCAGTCGAAAGAAAGCAACATCATACAATCCAAATTCGGAATGGCTCGCATTGACAACATGTTCTTTTAGCGCAAGCAGAGAATAATTCCCCTGGGCGGTCCCATTCCGTCCGATGTAACTACCGAATCCCATGTAACTCTGAAACGGTCGATCCAGAATGTAGTTTACTAATGCCGTTCCGCGTTTCGGGTTCCGACAACCGGTGGGATTAGACAGGCACTCGTTCAGGGCTCGCGCATACATCATCACCGCATCGTACAAATGAAACGCCGGCTCTTTCACGTTGAAATCGTGCGCAGCGCCCAAGGTGAAATTAAATGGCTCCTTCTGTAAATAATAGTTGACCTTTTCGGTAAACTCCGCATGATGCTGGGCTGAGATTGGCGTGGGAATGACGCCCAGAAAGGATTTGAATATGTCAATGGATGTATTCGAGATGGTGTCTTCAAACATACCTGTGGATTCTGAGTTTAGACAGGTAATCAGTATAAATAAGTGTATTAGTTCAACATGCAGCAAAAATGTTAGGCAAACACAAAATTAACAACCGTCGAAACCAGGCACACGATATACTCTAGTACTTGTAATAACATACGATTTTATTTTGTCAGTAATTTTGTGTACAAGTACCTCGTATGTATCTAGGCGCGTCAAATTTAGCACTGGAAATATATCTGTCTAAATAAACTCCAACCACAAAGTATTCTCCTTTGTGTCAGATAGGGTAAAGCTACTGATGGTTTATGGTGGTGAATGACCTTTACTAAACAGCTAACTCAGGCACGACGCTAACCCAATCGTTCTGCTAACGGTGACCTTTATACAGACTCATTCAGACTAACAGTGCAACAACATCTAGGACAAGAAGATATGCCAGAGAACACTTCCCAAGACCAGATATTCCAGAGCTGCTAGCTATGCAAGATGACATTAATTCATTCACAAGGAGTTCTTCTCCTCAAGCACTCAGAAGCGATTTCTGATCCAAAATATGAAAGATGACAGAACACGCCTTCAACTTAAAACACTCATAGACAAACCATGAGACAACATTTTATTGATTGTTTTATGAGAGATCAAAGTACACTTAACACTTTACTAATTGGCTGATACTTTCTGGCCACTTCCTTCCGTTGCAAACCACATCAAAGTATAACTGTCCATACAAAATGTACTTCAACCAGTCGTACTCGTGACACGCTCCTTCTTTGGACCGTGACGTCCTCGGCACGAACGTCCACAGGATCCATCCGAACATCCATTGCTGACGAAACTTAAGACAGCTGACTTACAGCCACGAGAACCGTTGGCTACATGGAGGCCCCGGGTAAAACTCCTGGCGTAATACAGCTGACAGGTGGTGGCACGTGGTCAGGTCAGGAACATAATACGATGTTGAAATTTGAAATAAGATTAGGACAGGAAATGTCCATTGATGGCACCACAGTTAACATCAGGAAAGGTCACGAAAAAATAACGTCAGGTAGTACCACAACAGGTAGCGGTACAGACTCAGACCATCCATAGGTGTAAAAGCGATAGCAATAACTGATGAGAGAACTTCCGCGGCACATGATATGCCGCAGCGCATTCACAAAATACCAGGCGCCGACAGCCAACCTGATATCTCTCCCAAAACATATACGCACTTCAACATGGGCGCTAATGACCACCCTGTTTCCATACTACGGGCGCTCTCGACCAACCCGTTAACCAAATCCAATCCCACTTCGCAATCAGCATCAGCTGTCACTCCGTATCCACATCATGCTGTCCTCCGCATCCACACTGCATCTACTGCAAAGATCACGCGCACCTTCTTAGGCTTTGGTGAATTCCGCTTTGGCAAAAGTTAGTGTCCGCAGACGCTGGACCAATCTGCGCTGAATTATTCGACAAAACATCCCTTATCGGTCCATTCACGGTCAGAACAGCACGCTTCAGTAGCGGATAAAGCTGCATAATTGTGTTGCATCCAGTATATTTACTGCACGTGGCATGTCGCGATTTATCCAGTTCATTATCGACGAACGCATCTCACATTGAACAGCAGGGCTCTTTACTTATGCTGTCCTCGCTGCAGGTCATTGATCTGCTGGCTCATTCTCATCTGCGGTGACTGCAAAAACATTCCACCCAACCTTGGCGCTTCGGCCCGCACAAGGCGCTCATACGAAAAATCGATCGATATAGCCGTGCATGCAAAACTAGGGAAACGGAAACCAATAAAACTGCAGTCCTGCAACTCAAAGAAAACAGACAAAGAAAACAGAAATGTACACTGTATTGAACATGAATACATGCGACAACACAACACATGGTGCAAACCAAACGAAGATGCAATTTTCACTTTGAAAAAAAACGCAAAATGAAACAGAAGAAAATGCCATCTTAACCAAAATGTGGTTGATGTAACTTGAAACCAACATTTAACCAAGCATAATGCGCCCGCGTTAAAACCAAGGAAACAGAAAGGTTTATTAATGCAACATGAGTAATCGAACTTTAGTCACATGCCGGCAACTTGGTGGTTCAGTGCGTTACGCTTCAATGCGTAACGTCTGAGTCAGTGCAGACATCTGACAACATACGAGCGCATTGCACCGCATTTACTGCTGCCGCTGTAATATATTCGCACAAGCCTGTTTTTTTATTTTGTGCGTCCTACACGCAGTTTTGGATGCATGGAACATACAGACAGTTCCGCGTGTTTGGAAAAGTGAGAAATAGACCACTGTATTATAGTCAGTTACACAAATCATTAAAAGGTTAGTCGTACAATTGCGCTGTCTGTGAATTTTAATTTCTAACCATAGATTTATACAGATCACAAATTTTGACATTTTTATTTGTTTTAGGTGAATAAATTCTAGTTCTATTGACAATAATCACCGATTAAATAAATACAAGTAATTGTTCCACTTTGCTTGGCAAATTGCAAATTTTAGAGCCTTCCAATATACAATTTGTTGAAAGCAGGTATACAATAAACTATGACTAAAGTAACTGACTATTAGGGCTTCCCCATGGCCAGTTAAAACGATTGGATAACTAAACAGGAACTTACTTGTACCTTAGTTTCAGTGAAAGTAACGGTATTTTACCACAGTTTTTCAAAAATTTGTAGCAACATTCTGAATTAGCTGATGTTTAGACTGCAAAATCATTACTGACAGATAAAAATTTATAGACAACAGGCGGCAAAATAAATCATTAATTTAACACTATCAACTCTCTAAATTCCTCACAAAAATCTCATTTCTTACATCATCATCATACACAATTTTGTTTGTATATTTTTGAAAATGCACCATTTACAGACCAGGGCCCTGACTGTCCATGGCTAAAATGAATAATACAACTTTATTCACTCAAAGAAAAATTTTATTTTCAACACACAGCTATAACTAATATACTCCATACTGTCCGCCTGTTGCCTTACTGTCATAGTTTTATTTTTAAAGGCTTTGAACTAACACGCAAAAAATTGATCGACGATCATTAATTATTATTATTATTCTTTAGTTTTACACCTGCGCTACTTTGTATACCGTACTTTCTCATTACATTTCGGACTTATTGCCACGTTAGTTTTTTATCGATGTATCATGTTTACCGACAACCGACAAGTACTGTTGTTTTCTTTTAATGTCTTTAAGCCTCTCAACAAACCTATCAACAGTATCTGGTCTGTCTTCGATAACTGCTGCTTTCAGTTCAGGTGGCATGTGCTCAAAAATCACGCGTACTTTTTCCTGCTCTGTTGCAAGAGGGTTTGTTATGCGAAGGTAATCGAGAATCTCGAAAACGTAACCCAGAGGATTTTGTAATGGATTATTAGAAAAGCTTAGTGATTGCAGATCAAGGTCGTACGCACTTTGCCAAACACTTTAAGAAACTCTTTCTCAGTTTCATCCCAGTCTGGTAGCTTAGTTTTATTCGTAATAAACCATTTTAAAGCGTCTTTGTTTAACCGCATCGGAAACATTTCTTTCAACTTTTCATTATCCCATTCGAAATATTCACCAAAAAGTTTGAATTTTATCAGAAAATCTGCCGCCGATTCTGAGTCTTGCCCAGAAAATGACGGCAAATCTGCAAGGTTAACCTTCCGGTCGACTTTGGCAGGATTTAATTTATTTAAAGCATCAGCTAATTTGTTTACTGCAGCTGCATCCATTTTGTTCTGTACAACTGCACCAACAAATTTTCTCTCCTCAAACAACTCTAGGTTTGCAGTAACCGGCAAAATATCGTTATCCTGAGAATTAAGAAACTCGTTGTTATTCCCAGTAACCGTACTATTCAGATCATTGGTTGTAACCTTGCTCGCGCCTGTAACCGGCTCTTTACTGGTAATCGGCTTCACTTTGTTACTTCTACTTTTTATGGCTTTTCGCTTTTATCAACAAGCTCCCTTTCACTCACATGTGTTAACGGTAAGGTGCTTCTTGTAGCAGGCATAGCTTATTGCTATTATTAGCCATTGTAATTCAAGGTTAACAGTTACAATTATCATTAGAATTATTACTTAAAGCAGAGCTAAATTATCATTACAACTGGTACGAGTATATTGGCATTGCCGTGCATGTTAATAAATCACATGTACAGAGTACACAACAAAGGTATGTACCCGTTGTACCGGTATTTATGTACCAACAACAGCTACGAGATTGCGCCGCGCGTGTACATGTGCACAAGCCAGGATGAACACGGCAGTACAGACTTACACAGTGAACAGAAATACAGAGGAAACTCAGCTTTTTTTTTTGCTCAACAAAAGTTATCACTTACATAAGCAAGTGCCGGTAACTGACACTGTTTACTATAAAGTTGATGCATTAAACAAAACGCTGCCCAACAATGCTGAAACGTGTACTTGCATGCTGTTAACTACATCAGGTTACCGGCAAATAATATTGCCGGTCACGCCCAAATAAAATACCGGCCGCGAACGTTACGAAAGCAACAACGAGGCCACAAGAGTTTCATCACATCTACGGTACAAGCCGATAAACAACAGCTGACAAACGCATGGTATGTCGGCGGGTTACACAGACTAGCACAGCTATTGTAGTTAAACGAAAGTTATGATTAGCATAATAATTACTGTTCGTTGACCTTGTACCTCTTTCTATCTCAATGGGTATATCGTTCCCACACTTCCGTCTGGGTTAAAAACTTCGACTCTTTGTACACATGGGACATAAGAACAAATATTACCTACGTAATGCACCAACTGCTGTATCCCATTACTTTTAACACTGACTTCTATCTTACTGAATCGTAACCTGGTATCAAGAACAAAAGTTAACCGATACCATTCACGCTGGTGTTCCATTAAAAGTCACGTAGTAACCACATTCCATGCAATATCGTGCAAAACGGAACAATTTTTTTAACGCAGGGAGAAATGACTCATCGCAACAAAATTAAACAGCATGCTTCACTAGACACGGCTATCGATCTGCCACTTACAAAATCCGTGTGGTTCTTCAACCGCGAATTCACCCGCGTCACCCGGTTGGCACCGTGCTCGCCGGCATCCAGCTGCATCCAATCCGCAAGAACAAACACAAAGGTATCCCACTGTAGACCGGTAACAGGCAGGCGATCCGGGTTCACAGGTAAAATCGCACAGGTGAAATCGGACAGGTAACAATGACTATTGCATTTAGTCGACTCGATAAACCACACAACCGCGCGTAAAAACACATAGAATGACTTTCACCACCAAATGCCCTCCATGTCAGATAGGGTAAAGCTACTGATGGTTTATGGTGGTGAATGACCTTTACTAAACAGCTAACTCAGGCACGACGCTAACCCAATCGTTCTGCTAACGGTGACCTTTATACAGACTCATTCAGACTAACAGTGCAACAACATCTAGGACAAGAAGATATGCCAGAGAACACTTCCCAAGACCAGATATTCCAGAGCTGCTAGCTATGCAAGATGACATTAATTCATTCACAAGGAGTTCTTCTCCTCAAGCACTCAGAAGCGATTTCTGATCCAAAATATGAAAGATGACAGAACACGCCTTCAACTTAAAAACACTCATAGACAAACCATGAGACAACATTTTATTGATTGTTTTATGAGAGATCAAAGTACACTTAACACTTTACTAATTGGCTGATACTTTCTGGCCACTTCCTTCCGTTGCAAACCACATCAAAGTATAACTGTCCATACAAAATGTACTTCAACCAGTCGTACTCGTGACATTTGTCAAGCAGTCCCTCTCGGGCCATATCCCTCATAAACGCTACATGGCTGTCAATGTATCCAACCACCACCACAACTAAAAATAGCGGTAGTTTATTTATCGGTGTCTGTCAAGTGAAAAACAAGCGGCAACGTACTGACAGCTAGATAAACCTACGCACTTCGGGAGGCATTCTTGATGTCTTGCACAATTTGCTTAAACGGTGTAGCGTCAGGGTCCAGTCCCTATGTAAAAACTGCAACTGCAACACGAGCTTTACGAGCCATTCATAAAGTTAACTGCAGCATTACTGTACCACATAAATGTATTTTCTATACATCCGGCTGAGCAGAATTTGTATTCCATTTTCTTCTAAGACACCTCGGATGTTTTCGCCCGCCTTCTCCTCGTCGAGTTCGTAAACGTTGTACACAAACGCGACTTTCTTCCAGTTGTAATGGAGTAGAAGAGAAGCCACGGCTCGACCGATATTGTGTACACGAGGCTGCATTAAGATCAAGGTTGAATATTCCTGCTTGGTATGGTCGTGGTTCACCCAGCGTCCGCGTTCATCCAGCAGAGAAATCGCCTCAGGTTTTGGACAGCCATACGACAGCATCAGTTTATTCACTCTCGATGCAAGGTTGGCTTCATCCAGACATCTGTGGTGCATAACCAAAATTCAGTTCAAAATTTTATTCTATAGTAACCTATTGCTAAAGTATTCCTACGTTTCATAAGGACCAATTATTACGTCCATCGGCTCGGACATCGTCCATTTGCCGGTGATGTTGATACTGTCAATATTGGAACCGAACGTATCTTCGTAAAAGAATTCCAAGGTGTCATTAAGCAGTAGATGATCTGGAACAAATATGCCGGTCAGTTATGCTAACTATGTGCACTTATTTCAGAATGTCAGGATCAGCGAGTAATCATCAGGTTGCAACGCTTGCTGCTGTTTTTTAACTGTTCAGCATCTAAACCTCGGAATTCTGTACAGATACAGTACTGTTATGCTGCACCTCCATTATTAAAAACTTCACGTGGCTCTGAAGATCTTCTAGTACCGCAAAAACTGGACGATTACTTGTTAGGAAATTCAATTCAAGAAATATACCTACATTTTTGAACTGGCGATACTTCGTGGTTTCAGAATTTTTTGTACAAAAACCTGCTCGGGTCTGTCGATACACGCCAACGTGCATTTTCTTAGCATATTTTCTATTCAAGCGTATTAAATAATGCATCAGTTCATTAAGAGCGGTACATACCAGGATGATTTTGATTGATCTCGTTAACCGCCAACGAAATTGCTCCGCTAATCCGATGGCCAATTCGGTCGTATATGATCGGGAAGGGTTTAGCGTACTGGGCTCCAGTGATGTATCCTATTTTAAACACTTTGCCTTCGGCAAGTTTCCAGCATATGGCAATTATGCAGGCACATATACAAACATGAAATGGCATGCGGCTTAACGATAAAGTTGACGGTTGAGAAGTCATGTTGCAACCGGAAATACCTAATTAAATTAGCATTTTCAATCGATAAAACCCACAAAAACTAAAATAACAGAGTCTGGAAGAATAAATAACACGTACTGTAGCATGCGTTTCACTCCAGTTGCTTGAAAATCACGGGGAAGGCAGTTCACATATATACAGATAAAAGATTCTTATCGCGCATTAAAATTACTCTTCGGTACAAAATGCAACACACATGAACTTTTAACTACCGCTGTGTTAAATGTGCGCAGCGACGGTTTGCCTGCGTACGACAGAAGCCAAAAAGTTGTACAACTTAAGCCCACATTCGCGCCCCGACTGTTAACAAGTCACGAACATCTTATGCCGCTTCCGCTTGTTCCATATGCAAGCGTCACTCATAAACCATAGCCACTGCTGGATTCCGGTGAGTATCAATCGAATATCGGCTTTCCAATGTTGTTCATCAACAAGCCGCTAAAGTTATTTATCGTCACTGTGTACGACGCCGACAGGGAAGAGATTGCCGTGGATGCGGTATAGTTGGCAGCCAACAGACCGCTTGGGAACGCCTAATACACCCGATCCGTGATCTATAGAGCCTAATTTCTGTGGTGCACAACCGTTTCTTCGTAGAGCTAATTGCGGTATCAGAGTTTCATGAAGGAACACAAGTACTATTAAGCAAAGCGTTTACACTTTAAATTAACATAAGAGTTTTTCGTTATCCGCAGATTCTGTGTTTTCCGCTCAGTTACAGCATATTGCAGATATTACGATGTTTTAGTGACTTACGATATCCTAGCGTAGTGAAAGGCGAAAATCGATTGCAAACATGATTTTGTTATTCAAGTTTAAGCGGCGTCTTGGATCATTTGTAGTGCTTTTTGGCGATGTACCAGACAGCCCTCTTTGATAGACGGCAACGTCAAATCCAGCACTTTTCGGAGCATTAATTTCCGCATTTTGAGCATTTGCTGCTGTACAGGTTACATACAGTGAATTGCGCGTGTTAATATTCAGCTCTATTCTAATCATATAATTATTAAGTTAAAGATCCAAACACAGATGTAGTTTGAACAATAATTAAACAACACGTAAATTAAAAACTTAAAAATATCTTTGTTTTGTGCGGCCTTCAAAAATATGTGTTGCCGGTGTTTGTTTTGTTTATAAAAAAATTCTGTGGTACGTGGTCGAAAGTATACTTTATCCTCAAACAGAAACTCCGCCCGGACAACGGTTTTGTGACAAGCAGAAAATTTTGTGCGGGCTTTAAATACCGCATGGCGACAGTCGCCCTTATTGCTAGAAAGGGCCTAATTGCTTTTTGCAGTTCTTAATATTTCTGTTTGTTTTTCTTTCCTGTCAGTTGTTAGTTGTTACTCGTACATCATTGCGATCGCACGGCTGATATGGAGTTTACAGTACAAAGTGCGATCAAAAGAATCAAAATTATGCAAAGGCAGATGGTCGCGGCATGTCGAGTTAAACAATGAGGTCAAGCGAGGACTAGAAATTGCGGGTTATCCTTGTCAAAACGAACCGTTGGGATTGTCTGCACGCAACAACAAGCGGCCGGACGGTATGACGTTGATTCCGGTGCGCGATGGTAAGGCGCTTGTATGGGACGCGACTTGCTGGGACACGGTGGCTGTATCTCATGTGCATGCTAGCTCGAAGAAAGCGGGAAGTGTAGCACAAATGGCGGAAGCAAGCAAGCGTCGGACGTACGATTTTATCGAAGATATGGGTTTTCTGTTTTACCCGCTGGCAGTCGAGACGTTCGGGACTTTCGGAACGCCTTTCGCCGAGCTGATCCGTTTCGTCGGCAGAAAGATTCGTGAAGTTACCGGAGAACCTCGGTCTACCGCCTTTTTAAGACAACGTTTCAGTCTAGCGGTAGTCCGTGGAAATGCAGCAGCTGTTTTGGGTTCACTTAACGCACGTCCCAAGATCATGCGTGACACTAACGATTTTGGATGTTTTTTTAATGTTTAAAAATTTGATGCTTTTAATTAGTGTAAACCTGCGCAGGCGATTTATTATGTATGCTGGCCGAAGCCGAATAAAAGTACAGTTTACAAATTATGCAAATAAGTATCAGCTGTGAACTAGTCCATATAATATATTTAGGTGGTGAACGAGTATATACAGCGAAATGGATCGATATTGATGGTTTTGTAATGTCTTGTTTATGTGCGTACTTTTGGGTTGCAAGCCTGATTAATGCAGTATTCAAAGCCTGATTAATTCAAATCCCAAATACAGTACATACGTTGACGATCAGCCAGTACTGTGCTTGTTGCGCTTTGGCAAGGTTATAACCCTGCAGGATTACAACGTGAAATAAAGATTGCAGTCGCAGACTTGTCCCAGACCTAGCTCATCGATATCCCCTTTTGCAAACCGCTACCGTAACAACACACATTGATACTACGTACAATAACAAAATACTCTAATTCAGGATGAACGGCTAATTGGAATCCTTTGGATGCATTGAACGTTTGCTCGGAAGCTAATCGTCCAAAGTGTGGTTTGTCCCGCCCCCTAATATCGAGGTGGGTAAATGGCAATTTGTCCCTAAAGGGTAGTAGTTGTTTCCGTACCGTTATTTTCATTTTACTGGGATACTTCAAGTGAATTCTTAGTATTCATCATCCTGCCCTGCCCTATGATCATGATAATGCACTATTTAAGCAGGTATGCTCTGGGACTGCACTGGAAAGTACTATAGAAGTACCGAAAGGTCCGAAAGTATAGATTGCAAGGTTCCAGATACGGTAATATTCAAGCTGATTTTTACTGGCAGTAGTTGCAAGCTCTGGCGCGCTACTTGATGGTTAAATCTAAATATAAAAAAAAAACAAAATCTATCTTCTCTCTGGTCGAAATCAAAGCAACATACAGAGTACTCAGAATAGCCCAGTACCAACAGCTTCACTTCGCTTGTTGAGAAAACAGTAGAATGCGCTGGAAGACTGGAAGTCCCTAATCCCTCGAAACAGCATTAAGATACACTGTGTATTTGCAGCTGCAAGTACAGCCACAGTTGGACACACATAGCTGCGCTTACAGGTTACTATAAAATGCAATGACTTGTATTACAATAGTACCTAGACATTTTCACTAACGTTTACAACAGAGCACTGTAACCGTGATGTGCCCATCTCTGCTAGTATATCGGCTGAAAGTCGCCAAAGGTCAAACCGGCAGCTTTCGAACAGTTTTTTAATGAGCCCGGGGAAAAAAGCAGGCAACAAAGCCAAATGTTTGTAATACAGCAAATTCCATAAAGCCATAAAAATCACGAAAAGGCGATATTTATTCGGCAAATCATAGAACCATTATGACGTCACCGTTCAGCCGTTCACGACTGTTAGCGCGCGAACACGCTGCCGATAAGCTGCCTTGTCGTTCCAGCTTGGTCAGCAGCGGCATCCCCTGTGTAACATCACCGTTCTGATACTTGGTGCACTGCAACCTCAGATCCTTGGTGAAGGTGGTGATGATATCCTGCAGTGATCCACAGTTGTTGGCTGACACCTCATCCCGCACCGGTGTATGGTTGGCACTTGTGGGTAAATCGTTGACGTCCAACTTGCGGTTGGAACCGCGCGGCGAATCGGCGGGAGACATTTGTTTCTTGAAGCAGCTCAGCCGCCGTTTGGCCTGCATCATGCCCCAGCGTGCCAGGATCGGACTGGGATTCTGGTCGCTGAACATGGACAGATCCTTGGAACGGCGCGCCTCCTTGCGCCATTCATCTTCATCCACCAACCAATAGGTCAGCAGATCACCTTTCCCTTTCATGTGGACTTTTCCCCGGGGCTCCACTATGTAGCCGCCGAGGCTGTCCAAAAGGGCTTTGCATTGCGGACTGCAGTGAATCTTCTGAGCTATAAAGGTCATATTCGGCTTGTTTTTGTATAGTCAGTCTGATGTGCGATAGTAGGAAATCATGCACTTACGCGAACCAGTCGATTCGTATCGCGAAGTTGTGTTAACCGTATCACCAAATCTGCAATTCAAGCTTGTAGCTTTTATATCACACCTCAAATGTACAATGGTGATTATGGTGTATGTGCCTGTTCCAAATAATATTATCTGTTGCAAAAACTGTATTGGCACAATTTTAACTTACAGGCAATAACGCGGCATCTTTCTCCCGACAACCTGTAAAATAATACGATAAAAATGGTGTAATAAGCCAATTGTCAGTATAAGTACACCTGCATGCAGCCGAATGTTTTTCTTAACAATAATTTTGCGACTCTTGGTTGACATGGTATTACGATTCTTACCCCAGCCACAACAGGACCACTGTGGATCCCAACACGCAGTAATAACTGCTGATTAGGTCTGTGCTGAATGCGAAAATACTGAATAGCATCTAATAGATGAAGCGCCATACTGGCTATCACACCGGCATGTGTATCACCGTTACGTATGGGAAGTCCACTGCAAACCTATATAATGCAAATCAGACTAAGTCAATAATACATCGATTTTCACGAATATACAACGAAATCTTTACCATGTAACTGTCTCCAATCGTTTCCACTTTGTACGCATCATAATGCTCCAATAAAGAATCGAACAGTGTGTAAAGGTCATTGAGAAATGCGACAACCTGTACATCGAAAATTGGTAATTAGATCAGTCATCAATTCTCGGCTTTTCTTGGTAGCTCTCGCAAAGCCTTCAGATGTTTTTTTCAGCGTTACCTCGAAAGGCGTGCTTTCGGCACTCAGTGCAGTAAAACCAACAATATCCGAGAAAAATATAGTGACGCTGTTAAACTGTTCGGCTTCCACTCGTTCTTGTTTGATAAGCTGTTCAGCAACTGGCCTACAACAAAATTCAAATCATCACATTTTAGTTCATTTAAAGCTCACATTATTGCTAGAACTGCTTTCTCAAGAACTAACATTTACGATTATAACATACCTTGGTAAAATTTCATACAAAAGCGATTCTGTTTTCTTTTTCTCTTCCTCAAGTGCAGTTGTCCGTTCAGCCACCAGGTCTTCCAGATTGTTGGCGTACCGCTGAAGAAGGCCGAGGACGTTGTCCATAATTGTGGGTTTTCTGCAAACATTCTCGCACATATTTTACTACGTCTTGCTAGGTTGAAAATAAAACTATAGATAGGACAGGCAGCAATCCCCAGTAAAAATACTCCAACGGTTACATTTTTACGCAAATTCTGCATTTAACCTGACAGATTAGTTTTTCATGCATTTGCTAAAGTTCTCGCATTTTCGATCATGTAATGCCACTATTCTACGGTGCACTCCTTGAAATGAAGTTTATCTACGCCCGTTTACTGCGCAGTAAAACACTTACACCTTGAGTCGTATCTTAATCGTCTGAAAATCTGGCCGCGCCGCGGGGTTCTCATTCCAGCAGTCAATCATGACACTCAGTACGTAATCCGGCACATCGGTGACCTCCATCAATTCCGCCTGATTTGGTCGGAACGGCTCTTTCTCCCGGCCCAGTCGCAGCTCGGTGACAATCTCCTGCGCTGTCATATTGACCCGCCCAAACGGCCCATGTCGTCCGTACACTTCGTAGACAATCAGCGAGAAGGAGTACACATCGCCGGCGGGTGTCCCGGCCGGCGGAGGATACGGATCTCGTAACAGTTCCGGTGCCGTCCACAACAGCTGCTCAAAATACTGTTGATACTCGGATACTTTGAGGAGGGGGTCGTAGTTGACATTGCGCTTGAATTCGTGCAGGCCGTAATCGGTTATCTTCACCGTAAACCGGCTATCCACTAAGCAGTTGGTTGGCTTAAGAGTCCCGTGGCTCTTTAACGAGCTCATGTGCAGATAGCACATGCCCTGCCGAAGAATTAGTGTATCCGTAATGCACCAATAAAATTCCAGGTTTTATTGCTAATGTGATCATTGTGATGTGAATCTTACTCGCACAATATCGCCCAGCATTGCTTCCATGAACATAGAGTCAAGTGACACATTCTCGTCGTAAATGACATCCTTCAAGCTGCCCCGCGAACAGAATTCGGTGACAATACACACTGGTGCCAGACAAGCGCCAATAAAACTGCACAGATTGTCATTGCGAATTTCCCGAAGCTACAAACCAAAATGATGAAGGAAAGCAGAAAGTAATGAAACCCAATGAACAATTATCAAATAGGCATACGTCCAGTGTGCAAATGCAAGTGTAAACGTCGGTATTTCAAGGGAAATTCCGCTTCTTCAGGCTATCAGCAACGAGTCCTTACCAATTTTAATTCCTTCAGGATTTCTAGTGTCAGGCTAACGTGGGTTTTCCTCAAGTGCTTAACCGCCACAACCTGGTTTTTATAAAATCCCAGCTCGGTCTGCAGCGGCTTAGGTATACGCAAATCAGCAAAGACCACATCAAAAACCCGATATAACGATGTTAGACTGACGGACGTCGCACGACACGCCACCTCCGGCTCCAACATCGCGCGTAAATACGCCTGCAGCTTCTCCACATTCAGTTCTTTCCATTCAATCTTCCACAGAAAGCTGGCTTGATCGCGTTTACTTTGCTGACTTCTAGAAGATACGAACTAACACCACTGCAGTTTCTTGCCAGGCCAGTGACCTTTTCAAAATTCTATTTCAGACATCTAATTTGAGGTTTGCCTTTCGATACCTGTAGCAAAGTAACCCCGTGATCGCCGCAATCACCACCAAGACCACACCACCGATGGCGCCCAGCGTGACATAGAAGCGAAAATCCTTCTCGGCATTGACCTCTTTGCACTTGGAGTTATCGAATCCGCATGGTGGTTCATCCGCCGGAACGCGGTTAAACGGCCATTGAAGCTTTTCTTGTGGCTTGAGTACTAGCGTCTGAAAGCATTAAGTACAGTACGTATAACGTATAAAGACTAAGGTTGTTTAATACAACTTAATTTGCCGAGTCTCGATTATCGATTCATTGGTACCACATCCTCAATATCTTACACGTGTACGTAAAGTGCCTGTACTAACAGATGCGAGTAATATGGGCATAACAGTGATCTAATGGTAAGCGCTGCTTGAATAAAATACTGATTCTTCGTTAATCAAATCCCAAAAATTTCTTCTAGGCTGCGTAAATAGTAAAGACATATCTATATACCTCATTTCCTTATAGAAAACGAAACGAGATGTTAATTATAATGTACACATTTCTGATAAAACCCGTTTTGTTCTTTCAGAATGCAGACAAAGGTTGTATTTTATAAGACAGCCCTAAAACCTTCAGAAAGTGTATTTTTCGTTTAATTTGATGTCATAAGTAGTACGCCAAAGATAAACTCATACAGTACACTTTTTGAGAGTGTAGTTTCTTAAGATTAATCCTGAAAACTGAACCCGCTGAAGTCATACAGATATTGTGTACTATAGTACGCATTTCGCGTTCAGTTAGGCTAAGCCGTAGTTATCCCCACCGTAACCGTGGATGTTGGCTGTTACATTAAGGGTAGGACGACCTGCCATCATCCTTCCCGACCCTAGCATGAATACAATCCGGGTTGGCTGCTCTTTAACAAAAATAAACTATTAATGGCTGCTTAGCCCTGAAGTCGTACGATGACCTTTACTGGAAGGGAAAATATTTGCTGACATTTACGCCGCTCGCTCACAGGGCAGAGGGCACATCAATAGTTTAAACTTTTAGGCAACTTTAATTTGACTACGATCCAGCCAGTTCAATTTAACCGTGTCATAAAGCTTGTAGCAAACATAAAAGATTACTTACACACCTCGTCTGCTGTTGGCAATCGATCTGGGCAAATCGACAGCGCAATACGAGCTAATTTCTTACAAACAACGGGCGCGCCTTTTTTTTACCCGAATGCGCTGTCAGCCATTGGAAGTCGACAGCTTTCTCAGGATAAATAAATGTACATGTGTGTCTAATTTAGCCGAGACAGTGGTACATCGTCATAAGAAGTTAATAAGATTTATATTCTATCTTTTTATTAATATAGCCAGCTGTCTTCAAACATTTTTTCGTGCTGCATTAAAATATCCGGTCTATGTACCAGATTAATACTTATTTAATACGTAAGTATGGAAAAGTGAATTTATTTTGTGCAGCAAGATTACTGTCAAATTTGTTTGCTTTCTACAGTTGTCGTTAATTTTATTATTTACCGGTAAGGCACTGCGATTATCATTGTTCAGTCGGAAGATTCCAATATCCAGTAATCCCACGTTCCAGTCCTTGCCCACCGGGTTCTCCTTGAGGGCCAGCAGGGAATAGTTGCCCTGCGCATTGCCGGTGGGGTCAATGTAGCCGCCGTAGCCCATGGCGCTCTGGTAGGGCCGATCGATGATGAACTTGGCTAATTTGCTGCCGTCGCGCGGATTGGGACACTCGCTGACATTGGCCAGGCATTCGTTGAGGGCGCGTGCGTAGATCATGACGGCGTCGTGCAGGTAATAGGCTTCCGGCTTCACGTTCTTCTGCGGCATATCGTCCCACATGAAGTAAAACGGCGGTTTGGGCAGATAGGCATTGACTTCCGTGGTGAATTCCCCTTGTTCTTTGGCCTGTGACGGTGTGGGAATTACGGCCAGAAATGAACGGAAGGCTTTGATTGTTTTCTTGGCTATCTCCTTCTCAAATACACCTGGTTAAAAGGTTAAAATTAAGGAAAATTAAAAAATATCAACCTGGTCATGCACACACGTATGTACTTCCATGCGTTTACTGTGAAAATGTCATTACCATATCCTAGAATGATATTTCACTGCTTGCGTAAAAAAAATGACGCATTTCGATCTTTAACGTGGCGACGGTTAGCATGAGACGGGACAGACAGCAGGTATTTACATATGGCGAGTATTTACATGTATATAAAAAGCAACAAAAAATTCGAATATTTTTTCTGACCTGTAGCACTTGACATTATTAACCAAAAGAATTTAAAGTGATCCAAAAGAATAATGAAAGCAAATGGTTTGAGTATCGTTGTTTCCGCAAAATAAAAATTGCGCCGGGAGTTTAATTCAAAACAATTAAAGTTAAGCTAGAGTTTTTAAATAAAGAACTACTTATTTGAAAAATTTTGCGGCTCTCTGTGATAACAGCAAGCCATACGCATCGAAATGCAACCTTCTGAAAGTAAACCTCTTGCTTTTCGCAGTTAAAATTAACCATAAATGATGATGGGACACATTTTTGTACCGCAAAAAAATGCACGTAAATTGACGTAATGATCACATGTACAATACAATACCTCTGATATACTTGGCTGGATCACTTCCACGGTCTTTATACTGCTCCAAGTAGACCCCCACAACAAAATAGTCCCCACTATCCAGCAAGCCCTCTTCTTCCATGGCATTCATAAATCCCACATGACCATCAATATACCCGATAACCACAATGACTAAAAATAGCGGCATATATGTCAGTACGCAGGCGCGGACTCAATGTGGTGTTACGTAAACACCCCGGCCAAGGTCATCAGACATACTGCGCGCGGCATTCTTGATTTCCTGGATAATCTGCTTAAAGGGCGACACAAAGATGCCATCCGTATCGAATCCCTGCCAAGCCGGAATAGGCTACACTCGGGTTAAAGCAGCAATACAAACAATCTAATTGTACAAGCTCATTCCGAAATCCGGTGATCGCTGCGGTAAATGAAAAACATCCTTCCAGAACTACCGCGTGCTAAGCCATTACGCAATATGCAGTCATAAAAACCTGACCTTATTAACAATAGGTGACATTCTTTACCCTACGTATTGACCACAATATATCTACGGTAACGTATTCCAGCTGTGAACAGTGTGACTGAAAAAAAGGAACTCTTGCTGATCCATTCTCTATATATCGATGAGCAAGGGTCCTGTTTCTTTAAATATATGCCGGTATGTTAATATACATATATGCAATCCATTATTTTCGTAAGGCAGTCGTGCAATGCACCTTTTCCACCGAGCAGTCAGTGGCATTTCGGAATAAGCCGGTACAATATTTTGTATATTTTAAGCGACGGATAGTACCACATAGTACGTCTCGGCCCATGTCCGGCTGGTGACAATCTGCACGCCGTACTCCTCCAGGACATTCTTGACCGACTCCGCCGTCCGCCGCAGATGATCGCTCTCCACACTGTACACAAAGGCCACCTTCTTCCAGTTGTACTTGAGCAGGAGCGACGCCACGGATTTGCTAATCTGCTGCGCATGCGGCTTCACGTGGATGAAGGTGGAGTATTTGTTCTTCTCGTCGCGGAAGCGGTATTCTTGGCAGAAGTAGGACAGCATCAGCACATTAAAGCTCGTCGCAATGCGCGCCTCGTGGAAGCATCTAATAAACACACACAGGCGGTGCCGTTTTCTAAGTGGATGTATGGTTAATGGGTTCGTAAAATATTTGGAAATTGATAGGAGGGAAGTATATTACGTCTCTTGTGGCCCGATAATGGCACTAATGTTCTCCAAGCATAATCGGGCGGTATGCTGAATACTGAAATCTTCACGACCGTATGTCTCTTCATATTGGAATTCCAACGTTTGGTTAATCAGTAAATGATCTGCAATGATTTTAGCTCGAGTGAGAAACTTTCTTAATACATAAATAATAATAGTAAATCACTACGTATCTGTACAATTTAAATACGAAAAAACATTTTATATTAACAACGATATTAAATTTTATCTGCTCCGAACGGCAGCTATACGCATAGTATTTACTCACAATTTTTTGTATACGCAGGAATACCGTCACCTCAATTTTAAATTAAAATGATTCGTATATTTGTGACGATTTAATACTTAGTTAACAAACTTTGTTTTCAGATCTGCATTAGCTGGTATCGAGGTACGAAATAAAGGATAAAAAAATTTATTGACCGATATCTTCTGTTTGTATTTCGCTGTGATTATTATACGGTTGCCGCTGTATAAGTCAACAGCTGGATGGTGTTACGTTGCCGGGGCAAATACACAAGACAAACACACTTTTTACCAAGTATGTCACAATTCAAAACATTGATCAGGCCAAACACGCACATGCGCCTCCCTTAGAATTAGTGTTTATTACTCTTGAGCTAATGTAATCAAAATCCATTTCCACACTGAGCACAGCGGAAATCAAATAAAATCCACAGGCCGGCCTTTTATTTAGCCATACTGCATAATCAATTTAAGATGCCACCCGGCATAGTACCGCCGCCAATGACCGTATTTACGGAAGTCAAGCAAGTCATCGCTTGTGTGCACAGAAAGAAATATGGCATACGTAATATATTCCTGATAGAAAGTAGAAAGAATAACATAACTTCGGAACAATGCCTCAAACATTCTTTACTAAAACGTAGGAAAACTATCCGAAATTACTGTCATTTACAAATAAAAAAAGGGTGTACTAAAGGCATAATTTTTGGATACAAATGTTTTGCCATGTAATTGAAGCCAACATTGTTTTGTGCATTATTATGATACTGTAGTCTGATAGACACAAGAATTTCGTTTACACTGAACGTTTACCACAAGCAGATCAATAAAATAATTAATCTGCATTTTATTTAAAAATGTATAGCAAAATTTTTAATTGCGGACACTCTAAACGAAACAGCACATGCGTTAATCACGCAATCTTAATCGAATCTAGTCCAGATGATTAATGCAGTAATCGCTATCAATCTACGCCTACACAAGCCCGGCTGGCTTTCAGCTTGTCCGATTACACCGTCACGCATGTACACGTACCGGGATGATTCTGATTAATCCCGTTGACAGCCAGGGAAATCGCTCCGCTGATCTGATATCCCGGACGCTCATAGGTGGATATGGCGCCGGGATAGCGCTTCGATCCTGTAATGTAGCCCAACCGGAAGACCTTCCCGTTGACCAGATAACCACCATACACCACAATCACGATAATACAGAGAAAACTCCCGGACATTCCGTCGCTACTCTAACCATATTCCAAGATGGCGTTTTACACTGCACAGTCAATATATTCGAAGTTCTAACGGAAAAAGACAATGTCAGTATTACACTCGCTGCCGACGGCATGAAAACCGTTCACCACACAGCAAGGTTATTCCGGCCATAAAAACTGCCGATTTGGAGCCGGCTTCGCGTTCTCCCGTCCATAAAAATCACATACACATAATCGAGTGCTTTTAACGATGCAGCAGATAACGCTCAGTAATTCAGCATATGCGGCAACAGTTGAGTCTTGTGTTTTAGAAAGAAAAGTGCATGAGCCAATGCGGCGCGCACACGACAGCCAGATGAGCCGCTGTGAATGCCATCTTGACGATCCACGTGGAAACCATTAATCTCCACACACACACTTGTAGTCAGAAAGCAAAAGGACGTTGTGCGCGGAGATTTCCGGTAATAATGAGTCTGTCAAAGGATCGAGCCCGGTAATTATCCGGGTATGATAACATACAAGTGCGCCTGGATGTTGATTTCACCCCCAGTCACAACAACACATCGGGCCGCTCTGTAATTGTCAACGTGTAAAAAAGATGTCATGAATCTCTCGACGGATAGCGCTCATTTTCTGGCTGACTGGCGGTCGGTGTGCGAGCTGATATGTACCGCACTGGTGCGAGAATATCTGTACGGTCTATACACATATAATACGTGCGCGTCGGGAACGGTTCTCAGGGGCCGCGCCTATTTAGCGGCCCATCCAAAAGCGTTTAACGGGCAACTGTTGGATGGTGTTGTGTGTGTGCCACTGGGGAGCAGCTCATGTGGCAGGCATCATTAAGATGCGTTGTTAGCTCCTTGGAGAATTGTCCGCGACAAATGAAGACCGGCACGAATGATACCGTGCAGAAAACGCAATCATTATAGAGCAATTGTCTAGATTTAAACTCATTAAAGGATAGTCCGGCTATCGGATAACAGTAAAGTGCATACTATACTGATTCGGTATTCAGTACTTAACAGAAACTGTCTTAATACGATCCGATATGCAAATTTTAAACAGCGCTTTTCGTTAAAATGCATTCCGGAAATGAAACGTTGCACATTTTGCATTTAGGTTTCCGCGTATCTCTCTACAACACGTACCGATCTCAGGCGATCTGTAAGGCCAAATCACTTCTGCTGGGATAAACGGGGGTATCGGGATATTTGCGCTTGTTTACTTCAGATATCTATATATTTAAATAATAAAGAATTTCTTCGCAGTGCGAAGTAACAAAAGACCTTTCGACAACGGAGTGCCGAATAAGACGCAAATTCGCTAAAGTACAGTATATATGAAAACTTTTGCACCACTTACTTTGCTTGTTTTTTATATCGGTCATATGCAGTAGATCGATAACATAAGGTATATAGAAATTCATCATTCTGCGGTATTTCTTCAGATAAGGACATGAATACCATAACAGAAAATCAGAAATGTACATTGGTCAACCTGATATCGAACCACTGTAGTACAAATCCTTTACCTCTAGCCTGCCGTTAGGTTTAAAATTATCATAACTCCCCATCCCCGGGAAGATAGCAATCCGATTATCTCCGCCATTAACAGTTATAGGAGAGGCTTGATCGCGAATGACCAGGGCCCCGCCCTCTCGAAGAACAGTCCACGCAGCCGTGAACTACAATTCACTGCCGACGGTCACCTTGCCCTTGGCGTCAAAGTCTGTGGCTTGGACTAGACCATTGGCTTGGATATTAACGGATTCACCCAAATTTGGATAGATTGCCAAGCGGTTCTTCTGGCTGTTGCCAGTCGATACTGTATCGCGGATCACAAAGGCGTTACTTTCCACATGGACCACCCAGCCGTTGAACGACAAATCATTCCCCACTATCACATTTCCACTGGCGAGGAATTCGTTTGCCTGGATCTGACCGTTGGCATTAAAGTTGACGTTTCCTCCCACTCCGGGATAAAAGGCAATACGATTGAGACCGCTATTCATAGACGACTGCAGATCACGAATAGCCAGTACATTGCCGCTTTCCTCCCGCAGAACCCAGTCATCGTTCACGAAAACATTGCTTGTCTTGACGCTGTTGCTGGCGACCAGGTCGGTGGCCTCCACTCTGCCATCGGCACGAACGCTAACGCTCTCCTTCAGTCCTGGATATAGCGCAAAGCGATTGTCACCTCCCGTAAGCTGGTCGCGGAAGACTAGCACCTGATTTTCCGTTCGTATGACCCAATCATCGTTGCCGCCAATGAAGAGCTGCTTCACGTGGAGGTTCCCTTGCGGGTCCAGGACCGCCGTGTCCCCTGTGCCTTCTTTCACCAGAAAGCGGTCACTGTCAGTGTTGGAGTCGGTGAAGACGAGATAGTGTTCCCCGTCGATTTCTTGATCGGAGATAATCCACTGTCCAATCTGGATTTGGTTCACTTTTAATGAATCTGCACAATGAAACGTTGCAATTATTTTAACAGCTTGTTAAACGTAGGTAGGGTACCTTGCACCGCTGATATTACATAAATGATCGAAGCGAAGGGATAAACTAAATTAAAATTACGCTGTACCTCGAGTTGTTAATGCTGATTCTGCGCACTTATATACAGGGTCAATTAATAGTTAAAGTGTGATTATTTTTTTACTAACTTTACAAACTGAGTATCAAAGGAAAAATTATTAATAGTAAATATACATATATTCGTTTCAAAAAAAAACCGTCAAGTTTTTTGTTCCTGATCGACGTAACCGGCACACTTAGTCTCAATTCTCAAACATGGAGGCTCTTTATCTCTGCTTCTAAATAATGTGTTCTTATTGCTTTAAAATATTTTAGATACTAGAAATTGGTACCATGTAAACATTGTAAACGTACCACGAATGACCGTGCAAATACGGACTGCAACTGTACAACAAAAGAACAGAATAATGAGAAAGGTATCAGGGCGGGCTTATGATTCAGCCCTTCTCTCATTGGTTGGTTTTGGGTTTTTTCCTGTCTGGGCATTTGCATGCGCTTTGATGGCTCTATAAGGCAGCTGCGCTGCCTACAGAGACCAGTTGGTTCTTGGCTTGCGCAAAGCGCGGTGTGTCAGATTTCGGCATTAAAGCCTTCATCCGGGTTTGCTTTTGTTTCGCCGTCGATGGTCGATGCGCGCCTAGTCAGCGCCATCTGATATGGTAGCAGATCACGGAGACGTTCGTGTGTTGCACAGCGGGCTTGCCCCGCTCACGGGCCACCTCTGAGTTGTGGACCAGATCGCGTGATCGCGCCCTGTGCCACCCCCGGGTACGGAGCTCACCCGCTCCTCCGGATTTCCCGTCAGTCGCCGGAGCTGTGCCGTCACTCCCGCAGAACGCGGAGGAAACTGCCTCTCCCAGAAGGGGATGGAGATGTCGCCAAGCCAGAAGTGCAGCGATGGACGGACAAACCCACAGCCACACCGTACCGATGACGGATGCCGACGGTGGACGCAACCCGGACCAGCAGGAAACCTGCGGACCCTTCACCACCACCAACAGCCATGCCAACCCCGATCCCCACGGCCGGATCGACCACCATCACCACGCCGAGAAATTCCCCCCCACCAAAACCCTGCCCGTCCTACCTGGGACAACAACCTTTTCCCCCGGCGGAGCAGCTGATTTTCCCTACCCGGAGCAGCGTATTTTTGTGTTTGCAGGGTCATGGCCGTACCTGTGCCCCAAACCCCTGCCCGATTTTCCCCAGACCATGACCTTTCTCCAGACGGATAAAATGCGGAATCTACCGATTTCCGCATCCGACCCTGGATTCTGTCGCGACAGTGCGTTGACCTAGGCACTGGATCGCGTGAAGCCGAACCAGACCGACCGAACCCGAGCCAAACCGACCGAGAACCACTCCTAAGCCGAACCTGATCCGAGCCGACCAAACCTGGACCGAGCCGGACCAAACCTGACTGAACCAGATCCCATACCGGACCACGTGAGCCGACCGAACTGGAACCGAGCCACCCGGTAGTACAGTCTATTAGACATAGTACAGGGACCGTACCGGTCCCTGTATCCACTGTTCTTTTACGGCGCATCACGCCATTTACCTGCACTTCGCAGGAGCTCAGTGTTAGACCGTACAGGGATATCAGGGCGGGCTTATGATTCAGCCCTTCTCTCATTGGTTGGTTTTGGGTTTTTTCCTGTCTGGGCATTTGCATGCGCTTTGATGGCTCTATAAGGCAGCTGCGCTGCCTACAGAGACCAGTTGGTTCTTGGCTTGCGCGCAAAGCGCGGTGTGTGTCAGATTTCGGCATTAAAGCCTTCATCCGGGTTTGCTTTTGTTTCGCCGTCGATGGTCGATGCGCGCCTAGTCAGCGCCATCTGATAAAGGTGACATGGCCGAGTCAGTTACGGAAGCACTGAACCCGATCTTCCAGTCACTGGATGGGTTGTGCACATGTTACTGTACTAAGCCGCTAGATGGCGCGTAAAGTTGTCCCAGTACTACTTCTACCGAGTTTGGTGTGGAGAAGATGTCGCACAGGCTGCTCGATCAGCTTAGATGTTCTTGGTAAAGTGCACACTGCCCAACAGTGGGAGGCAGACCCCGGCCCGGGAGTGGACAATTTCATGTAGCGGCTACAGTATAGGTCGACTAATTTCGATTACCTGCTTCCAGATTCCTAGGTAAAGGTGCTGGCGTTGGCGCAGGCGCTGGTGTGGCAGTGGACGGGGCTGGGGCGCAGTTACATCCCGTAGGCTGTGCGCCATAGCCTCCCGCTTTTCTCGAATTGTCTTCATATTCGTACCTGCGGCATGCTGCACATGTCAAGCTATTCCATGCATAATAAGACGTATTACTGCGCATCGTTGCAATTGTTGTCAATGTTAATATTAGAAAATTCTGTCTGTTGCCTGCGAAGAACACAAAGTGCTGTACGATATACCCGTAACACTCTTAGAATTACATCACTATAGGCATGTGTACTTGTACAATATGAGCGCGCCTAGTATTCCCTTCAGCTGGACAAATATCTTGCAGGATACTAATTGTAAGTTGGTAACATTACTAAACGTGCATTTTATCCCTACCTACAAAACTGACTTGTGTACGTACCTAGGACGAACCGTATCCCGAGATTTCGTACGTGAATAGTCATTTTTGTCTTGGTAGCCGACATCGTAGGCCGCCGGCAAGGATGCTCTAAAACACTTAATGAGTCAAGTTGCTATTAACTACAGTACTTATTCCAAATACAAGAAAGAACTCATTATTATTCAAAAATATTACCCAGAGCCATAGTAGCTTCGCGATGCATTTGTTCTGAAGTGACTACGCGCTCCGTACGCACTTGCGTTCTTCTGGGTTGGCCGTGAGTAACGTTGTGGGTAGTCGGACGCGCGGGCGTTCTATAACAGAAAAAAATCAGGAGGTCACACTTATATGCACAAATAAGGACACTCAATTTTAGTGCCAGATGGTCTTACCATAAAGAAGCCAAGCAAAACACACTGCCACATGCAATAATGCATGTTAAAATCGCAACGACAAAACATCAAGCACACTCCAGCGCACTGTATTATCAGCTGAAGTATTTCTCCTTATCTGCGTAAATAAATAATTAGGAAGCAAAGTGACTAACAGTAACGAAAGTTGAAACGCGATGTCTTGATTAGCAAGTTGAGTGCATCCATGTCTGATGGCTCGAACAGAGTAAGTAGTAGTTAAAAAGATTATATCATCGGTTATGGAAACAAGTCAGGAGATACTGTACTTTGCTTGACATGTTATGGGAACGTCCTAAAAAAATCTAAGCTGCCGTACTCTGTAACTCGTTTATTTAACGTAGGAATAACAAGAGATATTCGCATATGAGAGACCCTCGTACTTTACGCAACATAATACTGCAGAAACTTTCTCGGTTTTTTGCTCTTGAGTAAACGTAGCGTATGTAATTCAGCTATATCATTACACGAAAGATTAGATTTTAACTCCTAATCAGGTCAGCTGAAGACAACACTTACATGCCACATAAATTTGGTGACCTTTGATTCCCGGCTTAATGAACTGTTAAACAGTTTTAGGTTTACATGTGTTTATACGAATACGGCCGTTTGGCGGTACTTCTGTCAGACTGTCAGTGTTCTCCATGGAGCAACCTACTCCTTTGTTAATTGCTAAAAGGGTACATTTTCACACCTAACTGGTACGTCAGGACGTGGCATGAACAAAACATCTTTGCCCTTTCATGTCATATCCGCAAGTGATTGTCTGTAAAATGTGTTTTCATGGTTTTTTTAATAGTTTATAGTGAAAAATTACTCCATCCTGAGACGTACCGGCCTGGTTCGGTAGATCTGCTTCTGCTGTGTTCAGTGAAATTTGCTGGTTACTTCTGAGAATGGATGGTATGCATAATGCACAATGTTTATAGTACAGTACGTAACATATGTACTGAATACTAGTGAATAGTAATGTAAATTGGCAATCTTGATTAAACTAATTTGCACATTGCAGAATATGTACGTGTTTTAGCGTGAAAGGTGGCGTGGTATGTCAGTAGGTCAATATTTAAGTACAGTATGTATACTGTATAGTGCGAGCACTTAAAGATCTAATTGACCGCTTCCTTCAGAACTAAGTACGCAGCGCAATAGGACAGCGTGATCCAACATTCACAATGGGTAACTTAAATGTAGTATAAGCCCGTTCACACTAAATTTGGCTGTAAGTGTATGCACAATAAACACTTTGCTGTTCTTTGGTAAAAGCGTAAACACCCCGCAGATATGGCCAACCGGACGTAAAGTTCTGGAGGCGTTCTGCGGTAATTCACCATCCCGTGTCGTAACTTTACAGTAGCATATTGAGCAACCAGTCTGGTTTCCATTGCTGTATGGTTTTCAGCGATCAAAACTTTGTTTACAGTACATCCTTACGCCAGTCGAAACAGCTGATCCTTCCATTAGTGCAGCCTCATATCTATATAAAGCATGATAGCGAACATTATCGGCATTTGTAGTGCAGCGACACTATTAATTTCTTATGCAAAACCGGAAGAGTTATCGGATCTGCCACCCGGTAAGAAGATTCGTAAAACTACGACAACAATACCACAACTTTTACAGTACTCCATCACCGCACGAATGATATCAAACACCATCTTTAGCTAATTATACTGTCTCGGTTGTATAGACTGGCGAAAGTTTATCGACCCAGAAATACTGAAAGAATCCATGGGGAAAAATTTGCGAATGATATATAGGAAGGACTTGTATGAAGGCGATGTTTTAGGAATAGATAAATCTAGCAACACAAATAGTGTAAGTGAAAATCGAACAAACCGAAATCGAAAACTGATACCGGCCGCTGCAGCGTTGCCCCTTCTTCGGTTTACATAAATATAGATATTACAGAAATTAATGCTTCGTGACGTGATAAGGAAAAGGGATTCCCTGTGGCCCGGAGGACGCGTACCATTCATGATCAGCAACTCTTTCAGTACTTACAAAATTTTAATTCTTTGAATAATTTCTTTGAATAATTTATATTAATTTCCTTATAATTTTAAGACATCTCGATCTTGAAATTTACACATTTCTTTCCAGAGTTCGAGGAAGAGGCTGCAATTGTGAACGCAATGGTAAATCTTTCGCGCGAGACCGGTCCCGATTGTATTACATTTTACCGACACCGTGAATCCGACCAAGAGCCTTATGTTTATTTTTATCGAGGAACAGGGTATGAACGAAGTTTCTATAGAAGTATAGTGCAGATCGATCGACAACAGAAACCAACGTTTGTTAGATACAGTGTATTTAGAAGGCAGTTTGCAGTTGCTCTGAAATTATACATGTATGTAGTTAACGTAGCAGCGCATTCAACTACTTGTACTGTACATAGCAGCGCAGGCAGGCACTGTTCAGGATTGGCGCACTCAGATGACCACGCTGAATAGATTCATTAGATTGTTACCAAAAATTCCTTTTACTTGTTGCTGCAGTTGTCAGTCATACGTTGGTGTTCAAAGCGCGTCGCGACAGGATATTGCACTACACGCGAACTGCTTAGAGGAAATCGGACTTATACAACATGAAATCATGCATGCACTTGGGTTCTATCATGAAATGTCACGGGCAGATCGAGACGAGCATATTACGATTGTTTGGAAGAATGTCGACCGAGGTATGTACATTATCAACTGGTTATGGATGATGTATCTAAAATCACCGCAATTAAGGCAGCGTTTCTTGTGGTCAGAGCAAGAAGACAATTTCAAGCAGTACGGAGGCGACATGCAAGGGCTGCCATATGATTATGAGTCAATCATGCACTACCACTACAACGCTTTTGCGAAAGATTACAGCCTGCCTACCATCCTCCCCAAGGTTGAAAAGGCCCCCATCGGACAGCGTAAACGAATGTCACGGCTGGACGTTGAACGTATTCGGAAAGCCTATCAATGCGATTCACTACCGACTGCACCGAAAGAACCTCTGAAAAACGATATGGATAACGAGCGCCGTGACCCGGCTAGCATCGGCACACTGACGTCACCTATCAAACCGGCAACCGAGACACCAACGGAAGCAATCAAATCAACTGAGTCACGCGCTTCGACAGTTGCAATCTCTGCAACTACGGCAACGTCTCTCAGCACCGCAACAACTAGCCCGAAGAAATCAGTTTTCGATCAGTTTGGCTTCTTCGTACCCTGGCTTTTTACCACGACCTTTGCCCCTATCCCGATGAGCGAAGAAAGTGGCAAGGAAACTGCCTGTGCACACTGCTCCAGCACGACAGCAGCACCGGCTCCATTTGGGAGTTTCACTTTCCTCCCATTTCAACCCTTTGTCAATCCTAAAATTCCTATTACTAATTTCAGTCAACAATTTTTTCCTTTCGGAGCTCCGGATATTGGATAAATGCCTTTAAACTGAACGCAAGAAAATGTAGTTAATCGAAATCTAAGGCAGCATGTCACCGTCATTAAGTCAGCTGAACCATATATTAACACGCTATGCGTAGAAAGCGTGTATTGCGTACGTACGTGCTGTGACGTACGTGTTATCTGTTCTGTTACGTACGATTGCTGTTCTTATCTAACGCATTTGATCACTAATTACATTGGCGATTCTCGTTGCATGTTCAGTGTGTTGAGGAGGTGTTCGAGTCTTGGGCTTGACGAGTGAGAAGAGTCTGAAGACTGAGAAGTTAGCTTTTACTAGAATGTAGGTGTGACCTTCTGGTAGAAGTGCGTTCTGTTCTGTTGATTAAACATTTGGGAAGTTCCTGAGTGTTTGGGTTTCGGTAGCTTTTGTTAGGCACATCCGCAGTACCTAGCGGAAGTAGAGTTTGTTGTGTACGACCACTCATCGGAGTCCAGAGCGTATTCCCACTGTACCGACTGTGTATGGTTGGTCATCGAGTACGGTAGTCGGTGCGACTTCCGTATAGCATGTCATGGCGCCCACCGGATTTTAACAACCCTTGGGAGTCTGGATCGTCTGGTGAGTGTGTGGTTTCTTTTTGCTTGGTTTTGGTTGTGTTGGTTGGCCACGTGGATCCTCAGAGAGTCCCGTGAGGCACGGTTCCTAAGTGAGAGCCATGTGCTAGACCGCAGTTTGTTGCCGCAGTGACTTCAGAAGGTCACGCGAGGCACGGTTCCTAAGTGCGAGCCAGGTGCAGGACGGGAGTCCATAATCTGTTCTTGTACTGTGTATCGGTACGGTGTGTACTGAGAAGTCGTGGCGTAAGCCCGGTTATTTGGACAGACTTACATCCGGGTGCATTGACCTGGATCTCGTGTCTTGTCTGTGCTTTGTCAAGCAGGTAAAATGGATGGTGTACTGTCTGATCCATCAGCATTAACTGCTAGACAGGAGAATGGCAGAGAAGAGCCATCAACTGGGCAAAGCAAAGCATCCAGACGAAAAGGGATGATTAAAGTTGACGAGTTCGAAGCCATGCTGGAAAAGGCGGATTACTTAAGCCCGCCTACAGTGCAGTGGTTTCTTCCCGAAGATGAACAGGTTGGTGAATTTTGTAAGAAGTGGGAAATTGTTCTTCCTCGTACTGGTGAGTTAAGCCAGGAGTGGGTTGAATATGACCTAAATGGTGGTAAAAAACCAGGAGGCTACGACCAGTGGATCCAGGCAGGAAGGAAGATTCCCGCCCGTAGAACGATCCATTTGACCTTGCATGATTACGATCAGCAGTACGGCACAGAACTGCATGAGAAGTGGATGCAGTATCTTGCCCGTAAGAAGCCGGATACGTATGCAGCAGGTGGCAGCAAAGCAGGTCGTCCAGGGTCGGATGTGCAGCAAAGCGGCGCTGTGAAAGCTGCAGTCAGTGAGGGCGATGCACTGTCAGCCAGTGACGCGGGTGGTACTGCGAAGGATGCCGCGGTAACTCAGCATTTGGACCTGACAGAGATGAATAAGGTATTGGAGCAGATTAATAATGCTCCAGATCATTCAGCCGTATTGACTCGAGATAATGATGGTAGTAATACTGAACTGGCTGCTGTTGATTATCAGCGATATAATGTCGCTGATGACCGCTACAGTAAGCCTGTTGCCAAAGAAGGCGATGAGTCATCAACCGCTATCATGGTCGATCAGTTACGTAATGAATTGGATGCAGAAAAGGCTCGATATCATGCGCTCATTTTGAAACATGATGAATTAACTGGAAAGTATAACGATTTAATCGAAAGATATGACGATGTTGTTGATCGCCATAACAAGTTTGCTGATCAGGTGAAATTGCTTGGCATTATGCGTACGCGAGATGCAAAGTTAATGCAGGACGCGTTCGAGCATGTCAATAAAGAAAGCGAGAAGTTGCAACTGGAAAAACAGAAATTTCAGTTGGAAAAGCAACAGGCGCAGAAAAGTTTTCAAGAAGGCACAGCTGCTTTGAATAAGAAGTATGAAAAGTTTCTAGCTGAGCAAAAAGCTTTTAATGCTAAAGTCGATAAGTTAAAAGCTGATCGGAATAATAGACGCCATTCAGTGAATGATGACGTCACCTTTGTCCCGCATGTTGAGGCAGGTCGACGCAGCGAAGTAGTACAGGATACGATTGATCCTATACGAAAGCTGTACAGTGCAATTCAGAAGCCCGTCTATGTGGTCAAGGATAACTACAAACTGGATGAGTTTCTGGATTTGCGTGAACGTGCTCATAATATGCAGGAATGTTTGGGTGAGTCGCGTAGTCCCTCACCTACGATATCTGAAGTCAGCACAATTGCTTTGACCAGAATGGAAGCAAAGGTAGCTGAGCTTGATCGCCGATTAAAGGAACAGGAGGCCAAGGGCGGTAGTACTGTTTCTGTTCCATTCGATATGGAGAAGTTTACTAGTGCGATGAAAGGGGCATTCAGGACAGATACAATGTATCCTGAAAAGTTTGATGGGAAAACAGATACCAATAAGGTTGAACAGTTCATCCAGAGTGTGGATAACTGTAAGAACCACAACAGCTGGTCGGATAGTGACGTCATCAGTAAGTGCCTGTCGCGCTGCCTTACTGGTACGGCGCTTACCTGGTACTTAGATAAGTATGATTTGAATAAGAAGTTAAAATGGTCCGATTGGAAAAAGATGATCCGAGAACATTTCTCGGATGAAAAGGATTTGATGGCCGTTCGCGATAAGGTTGCTGATCGTCATTTCAATAATGACGATACTCCGAACTCCTATGTTGACTGGTTTACGACATCGTTCAAAAAGTTAGACTTGAACGAATCTGAACGTGTCTACTATTTGAAGCAAGGTTTGAAAAAGAACCGATTTAGCTGGTTCAAGTACATGGAGGAAAAAAGAGTGACAGATGTGGAAGAGTTTTTGTCAGAGCTGAAACTGCAGTTTAAACTGCGAAATAGTAATCCGGGTTCGGTTTACTCGGATGTGAAGCAGTTCAGTGGCAAGAAGCCAAGTGATGGTAGCAGCAGTACAGATAAGACCGTTGTTAGTGAGTCGAAGAAGTCTGACGGAAGTGCAAGTGATAATGGTAAGCAGGTTACCATTAATTACGCAAAGTGGTATTTTCCGGACGGGCAGCCGATTTGTTTCAAGTGCCATGGCGCTCATGTTGGAAAGAAGTGTACCAGCACTGAACCACGGAAGCCGGTGACAGTTGAACCGCCTGATCATGTAATCAAGGCTTACATGATGAGAAAGTCGACAGGGAAGAATCCCGAAAGTAATAATTTGGGATTGTGTTTACTGCGTAGGCCGGAAGTTAATTCTTTCAGTGTGCAGATTAACGGTGAACAAGAAGTTAATGCATGGAAGGGAACTTGCAGTGGGGGCGGAGCCGCCCAAGTGCAGTTCAGCTCGGTACGCCGTTCAAAGGGGCACTCGCTTTGCAGTGGGGGTGCTCGGGCTCGCGGAAACTGGCGTCAGAAGCAGTTAGGAAGTGCTTATGTAAAGCGCTTGACGTTCCTGATCGAAAATCCCGAAACGGAAATGAGTCGGGATGAAAAAGTAAATGTGAAACAGTTTCACATTTATCGTGGCATCGTATACCGTAGCAAGGGCGGTAGGTACGGTCGACACCGTATTGTCGTACCGGAAGTAAGCCGTCAGGACTTGTTACAAAACTGCCATGAGAGTTATCATGCTGGTGAATTGCACGATTGTTGGTCAGTCCGTAAGCATATTCTGTGGAATTATTACTGGCCGGGAATGAATGCACAATTGTGGAAGACGGAGGTAGAATGTGTGCATTGTCATGCTCACGTTTAAGTTCTGACTGCAACGTTGTGGGTGCGCTCTTTCTGTCACGGGTGTGTTGACAGTAAACTTGCTTTTAATCGCAGCCGCAGAATTAATCAGCAAAAAGGGGATGCTGATTGTGAAATGTGATTGATAGTAAACAGTTATGGATTATGACTGTTTATAAATTGAAATTTAGTACTTATAGTGTAAGTACTTGGTGTGTTGTGCCGTACCCGCCGGTGTTGCAGTTACGTGCTTTGCTGCGGTGCAGCGTTTGCGATTTTCGAAAATGATTTTAGTAAATCATTTTGAACTTCTACAGTTATAAACAGTACAGTTTACTGTTTGATTGTTTACGAACTGGATATGGTTAATCCAGTTCTGATCGATCATGCCTGAGCTTATTCTGGATGAGTTTGGCTGTAATGGCCGGGTTTGTTTAATCGATGCAAGAACCGCACAATCGTGTTGGTTCTTGTGATCTGCTCGGTTCTGATTTGGTTTGAGCGTTTGACTGCAAGTGCTCATTTGCAGTGGGGGTGATTGCCCGCAGCAAGTGGTCATGTACTTTCCACTTTGTGGCACGCTAAAGATACTGAATAAATGGATTTTATTTATCCATTTTGATTCGTGCTGTTGATTGATTTTGCCAGTGTTATCAGAAATTTTGCCATTTCTGATGTGTTTGGCTGGTTAACTGTGGATCCTTGAGCTCTATGGAGGGAAAGGATGGATGAAAAACTTTGCTGGATGGAAACGGACGGAAAAATCAGCGTTGGACGATGATGATGGACGCGTGTGGAACCAGGAACTCCGGAGGACGTGAACGGATCGCTGATTTGGACCGCTCTTCGAATCCCCGTTATACCCCGGATTCCACACACGGATGAGGATGCACGGATGATGCGATGGATCCTCCAGGATCACGGTACTTTATTCCTGGATTTTGAGTTTTTGTTTCACTGGTTCTGTTCTGTTTGTTTTGCTTTTGATTAACGCGGACGTTAATTCCCTGCAGTGGGGGTAACACGCTATGCGTAGAAAGCGTGTATTGCGTACGTACGTGCTGTGACGTACGTGTTATCTGTTCTGTTACGTACGATTGCTGTTCTTATCTAACGCATTTGATCACTAATTACATTGGCGATTCTCGTTGCATGTTCAGTGTGTTGAGGAGGTGTTCGAGTCTTGGGCTTGACGAGTGAGAAGAGTCTGAAGACTGAGAAGTTAGCTTTTACTAGAATGTAGGTGTGACCTTCTGGTAGAAGTGCGTTCTGTTCTGTTGATTAAACATTTGGGAAGTTCCTGAGTGTTTGGGTTTCGGTAGCTTTTGTTAGGCACATCCGCAGTACCTAGCGGAAGTAGAGTTTGTTGTGTACGACCACTCATCGGAGTCCAGAGCGTATTCCCACTGTACCGACTGTGTATGGTTGGTCATCGAGTACGGTAGTCGGTGCGACTTCCGTATAGCATGTCAATATATTTCCCAGTTTACACCAATTATGGCTTTAGGGAGCTCGATTGGTATGACTGGTTCTATTAATAAAATAACAAGTGCCTCGTACAATCAATAACGGAGTCCTGAAGAGTTGTAGAATAAATTTAATGTTTAAATAATAAAAAAGACTACAGATAATATTAATAATATCACCATGTCACGATTTAATATTTATCACCATGTCACGTATGTCTCGTATTATCCCCATTTATCACCATGTCACCGGACACCGGTGCATGTGACATGGACTCATGGTTTGTACAAGAGTACGAGTAAGACTTCTATAGTTTGGTACTTACAAGTTACAAGTACAAACTACAAAGATCTTGATCAGTACTAGTAAAACAAACTTTTTTTGGGTGTTCCCGCGTTCTGTCTGACTGTAGGCGGTCTATGAAGTTTAAACTTCTCTTAAAATTAATCCACATTCTGCCGGATATCAAAATCAGTATATCTAATAAGTATCCTGCATTCCCGTATCTGTATTTTATTGTAAAAAAGTAGCCCACATATAATTCACAAGTTAAATGTTAAACAAGAACAAAAATCCGGCCATGACATCACTTTCAATCATGTCGCTAAATGTACCGAGAACAGAAACTGCATTTCCTCGCTGAATTTCGGTACCAATTCTCTGGCGCAAAAACTCCCCTGAGAGAGGGTTGCCTGCACATTCACTAAATCTTTCTCCTGTATTCCTGTGAAATCTACCTAACTAGTACAGTAACTAGTAACTAGTACTCACCATCAGTTGAACTACTACTAGAGTAGTACTAACTACAGATACTCGTACTGCTTTTGGCAGACGCCCTAGCGCGTGGCAACGTGAAAATGTAGAATGCGGGCTAATCCCGTGTAACCGTTCTCTACCCTAGAGTCTAGAGCGTAGTACGGCTGTACTCGTACTGCACAGTAGTACTTGTATCATCAGTAGAAGTAGACAAGTTAATTAAGTCCGCCAATTGCTAATTTAAACCCCACGGGCACTGAACTCGGAAGCGTTGTTGCTTATTTCAGTAGCTCTTCAGTAACTCCTAGACCTGTTCTTGCTTTTCCCTGGCCTTTTTGAACCTTGGTTATCTGGCCTATCTTGAAGTTTCTTCCCTTCACTTTCGCAGAACTAACTGGTGGCATTTCTCATATGTACGGTAAAATTAGACATTGGCAATGGCCAATGGTCAAATTTTGTATGACTAATACACACACAACAGCATTTTTGATCCGCAGTATCCTCCGCCATTCGTGTTTGCTGATCTCTACAGTTGCTCACAGTATGTCTGCGTCAGCCCAACGGACTTTGGACGAAACCGTCCGCCAGATCCTGCAGTGCATCGACCTGATGCTGCCGTCTGGACGCGAGGAGGAGGCGCTGCGTTCCATCGCGCTGCACATTCTGAGCCGTCTCCAGCTGGGTGTCCAGCTCGATCCCACGCAGCTGAGGGGCCCCGCAGCAAATTCTCCATCGCCTAGCAGTGATGTGTCGAATGAAAACACACCAGGTAAGGAGCTTCTGTATGCATTTTCGGGTTTTAGACGATAGCTGAGTAGCAGATTCTAGGAATCTAGACAGCTATGAAGTATTGTACAGCAGTCATTTAAGTCATTTATTCAGTCCTCTATAATTACTTTCTGCTAATTACGGTAAATATCACTAGACAGTCGACACTAGTTAAATAATTTAATAACCGTCCATTGTATAATTACCGTACTTTATAGAAAACGACGGACCTGCTGACTATCAACCTGGCACATCAGCGAACAGTTCACAGGAATCAGCAAATTCTTCGTTGAAGAGACCTTCCCGACCGCGTAAGCAGGGAGCACATTGCTTTATCACGCTAACGATTAGCGTCGGAATAGCGGTTAATCATGTTCCTTGTGTTACAGTGTTGATCGACGGGATTCTGTCGATGCGACGTCCCCGGGCACGTTCGGAAGAAGGCGGCAGCGTTCCATCCTCACCCAAGCGTATCAAGCGCACGGCGGCGCAGCGTCAACGCGGCATCACCTGGGCCCAGCCGGTGGCCAGCCCCCTCCTCCGTGCACCGTTCATCCGTCGTGTCGCTCCCAACAACAACAGCCGCGAGCCCATCCCAGTGCGCAATGCCGAAGGGAAACTGCTGACCTACCGCTGCCCGCGCTGTCCCCAGACCAAACCGGCCAAGGCCAAGAAGGTCATCGTGGAGCACATCAGCTGCCACGGGGCACCTGGGAGTTTTGGATGTCTGCAGTGCGATTACACCACCAACTCCAAGATGGTCCACGTCTGGCACTTGAAGATGCACGCCAAGGCGGATGCGGAACAGGCTAGCGCGGGCGCTCTGCGTGCGCAGCCGTTGACGGTGCCGAATCGCGGGATACTCCGCAATGCATCCGCTCCGGCTCAGAGTGAGTGTCGAGAATTCATTATAATTGGTCGATGATTGCTTTGTCAATAGCTGTTTTGTCAGTAAGGTTTCGATGGATAATTGTGAGCAATACAAACATTATTCATCCGTTACAGACAAATCATTCGTTAATTTGATTTTTAGTTTGCCTGGGCACTCCAGTGTGTAGTAATCTTTTTGTACTCATTATTCACAAATCTGATGTCAGAAAAAAGTAAATACTCTATACGTGGAATATCAATTAATATTGTCAACTCTGGATACTTGTATACAAATATAGCCATCGAAAGTAACTTTAAAACGGTTCTCTTTGTAGAATCTCCGGGAAATTCCCTGGAAGGGTCTCCTGCCGAAAATATGGAAAGCTCACCGGATGTTGAAGATTCCGCGGATAGTGCTTCGGACTCGGAACTACTGTAAGCATCGTGATCTTTTGTACCATTTGTAAGTTAGAACATGAGTTTGATTGAAGTTGTGGGACACGATCTTCTGTATAGATCAGCGATTCGATTTCATAGAACTGTTAGATTACACGAAATGGGCTACTTCATATTTTTTCTACTGACTTATTTGATATTTACGGAGTATTAACGCTGATTTGTTGTTTATTTATCAATGCTGATTTGTTGTTTATTTATCAGTGCTGATTTGTTGTTTTCTCAGTTTCTACTGATTAGCTTCCATTTTTTTACGCTGTTGGAAACTTGGTTTTTAGCCCGGATTTGAGCACATAAGATAAGAGCTGTGATTATCCCAGTGCAGACAATTCGGTAATAAAATTAATGAACTCTGAAATAGCGAATAAAGCTTCGTTAACAAATTGTAAACCAAACTTGCTGGTTTGCAAGACGTTATTTTGCGAGTTAAATAATACAAATAAATCTGGTTAGATAAACCTTTTGCTTCACATAAACAAGTAAAAGCAATCAGCGCTATCAATTTAGTTGTCACTGTCAGTGGTGAATTTATACTACATAGCTTGTGACCTGGCACTCATTTCACCAAAATAGCGTAATTTTCGTAATACAAGAAAGAGCAATCCATAAAAAGTGTTTAGCGCATTCTGAACACGGTGGAAACAAAAACCTGATGATAACGTAACCACGAAATGAAATAACTCGCTTTGATCGCACATATCAGGGCTCTCAATACAGCAGGAAACTATGCTCTGTTAGAAACCATCTCAAAACACATGCAATAATACACTGTCAGTAACAACTACAATCCATGCACTTTCACCTTCCGCAGCGCTCTTAAATGGGCATGGGCTCCGGTTGGTCCATCTCGGGATGCGGTGCCGACACCGTGAACTGCCCGTCCACACTCTCCGCGTCGCCGCCCGTGACATCCCCCTCAAACTCACTGTCCTCTTCCAGATCGGTTATCTGCAGATCACTCCGGTCCCCGACCGTCGATTCCCCGTCAGCCAGATCTTCCGGATGCAAGAAGGCGCATCGGGCGGCTCCCATGCGACACTGCGCGCCAAACGTGCATACCTACACGGTCGCCGCGAGAAATTAGCTTTAATCAAAAATTAAATTAAGACCATACGATTAGCGAATTCTTACCACAGGCTGCTTGTGGAGGAACTTGCAGCGCGGCTGCGTGCAAAACGGTGCGTAGATACAGAACGGGATTTTGGTCGGCACGGGAGGAGCTTCTGCACAACGATCACAATGTAAGAATGCTTTATAAAATGTCGACGGGAAAATGCATACGTTTTTTCGGTCCTTCCGCCGTTGATGCTCCTGAATGATCGAACACACACGTCGCCCCAAAGCGACAATGTTTTCCGTTCCGGCAGACGGGATGGAAATACGGACAGATTCCTGCTTTTTTAGCACAGTGTGGCAAAAACCTACAAGTGACCATACGGAGAAGACTCTCACCTAATTACTTCTCTAATTAATTACCTCTCTGATTACCTTCCTAATTACATAATTATTATTCCAACCTAAGTGTACCGCCACTACCGTGCCTTGTGCACAGTAATTGTCTATGCAATTATCCTATAAATTGTATTCCAAACTTGCTGGTTTGCATGATTTTATTTACGAGTTAAACAATAAATAATAAAAAGTATTACATTACACTTTATGGCTTCGCATAAATGAAAAGCTTCAATCCCAATTTGCAGCTCGATTCGTATTGCTTAAATTAAACAAGGAAATCGCTGGCTAAACTGATACGGAATACACAGCAGGATAAACTGCGATTAATTAGTAAAAACAAACCATACCGGCAAGGTATAGATGAGGTATCAACAGGAGGCTTGCCACCCGGTCGCATCCGTTTAGCAGGAGGCGGTCCATCGACATCCATTTCATCTCCGCCCATCGCTGCAATCAAAAACAGTCAAGGAAATGCAGTTTTCAGCAGTGAGTTGAAATCTCCACCGTGCTGAGATGGAGGCTGGAACGGTGGTCGGCCGATGCCGGACACGGTGAACTCCGGCTGGCTGAACATTCCCCATCGATTGCGTCCGAAGCCGTGCTGACCCATGATTACACGGCTGGACGGGTGGGACGGCATAACCACCAGCAAACCCGGAATTCTGCAATGGCAATAACTTAATCGTAAGAAGAAAGGTAAAAACAAAATTAAAATGTCACCTAAGAAATGAAATGTGCAGATACTTCCCGCAGTTCAGTGTTAGGTGTTAGTTAGTATTTGAATAAATTTACAACAATTAACGGGTGAAGCGTTCTATGTATACAACCAAACAAATGTTATAAATTATACATCACTATATCGTTTGACTGCCATCGCAGATTGCTGTTGTGGTTATCACTAGTTACAAAAAGGAACCCAAAAACGTAACAGCGCTAAGCGGTAGTTGTTGATTGATTATTCAATCTCAAGGCGAAAGCAATCAGCATAAACAACAAGGACAAAATTAATTAACAAAAACAAATTAATCTGGAAAATACTGGAGTACAATGCTGGTGTCGGACTTACTCTTCGGAATCCTGATCCAGGACGTTCTCCGTTTCCTCCTGATGTCGGTAGTCCGGAACAATCAGCGGAGAATCCGCCCGCGTCGGAGCTACCGGGGCGGGCACGGGTGCCGTAACACTGCGGATGTCCCTTTCCCGTTCTTCATGTGCGCGCTTCTGACCGCCACCACGACCGATTTTCACCGCAATGGGTTGACCACTATCAAAGAGACAGACCATACGTAAACGTAATTCTGATTTCCGAAAGAGAATAAAACATAATCTTTACCGAGATTCATCGTCGGACTTCAACGCCTCCTGATCTATTATAGCCTCCTCGGTAGCATCGGCTTCGATAACCATTATCTCTTCTGCCAAGAGAAATTAACAAAAAAATTTATCAAGAGAAAACAAATATTTTGTCACGACTTGTAGTTTATTGCACACTGGCATCACAGCGAAGAAAATGTTGCCTCCGAGCCTCTGATTATATAAACGCAACGTCAATCTTCATACCCTCAGGTTGGACCACTTTTTCCTCGCTCTTCTTCTTCTCCACCAAAGGAACATCTTGCTGGGCGGCGCTGACGGCTTGTACGGACTTCACCGCATCACGCGCCGCTTTGGTGAGAATGCGCGAAACTCCTGACTTCGGCCTAACACAAGCAACAGCTACCAGTTTCGTCAGTCTACTCCCAAAAGAAACGATGAATACTTACTGCTCTCTGTTTGGATCCGCGTTGCCACGATGCTCTCGTCGCCGGCCGGAGCGATGATGGTGGCGCGAACGGGACGGATCGGATTCCCAATCGTTTTCCGCTTCCGCCTCACGCCGTTTGTCCGCCTCCGTTTTCTATGATTCACAACAGAAATCCGTTTAGATACTAAACTGTTCAATTGATCAATATGCGGTTGATAACGTACATGTGGAGATTCAGAGCCGGAAGTGGCCGCCGGGATTGGTGGCTGAGCTTCACTGGGCGGATCCGTTTTCACAGTGGGAACGGTGGATGTATCTATACAATGACTGCGAGTGAAACTAAGTTGAAAAAGAAAATTATCGCGGTGAAAGACTCTGCATCGCATTCTCCTCTGCATTCAGCGATTACCTTTTTCCGGAGAGGGAGTGGGTTTGGTCGTGGCAGCGGTGCCTTCCGGGGCGCCAGCAGACGACTGCTTGCCAGCTATCTCCGATTGCGCTGCAGTCGATGAAACAGACGAAATTATTACATACTGCATTGATTTAGATTTTCGCCCAGGGATAACTTCACATTAAGACTTTTCGAGGGAAAGAGGCACTATTAAAAAGTATTACTATAGATATACTTCGTATACCGTACAAAGACGACTGACAGCACAGGAACAAAATAAATTACAGATACTATATTCTAAAATTACAGAAAAAATAAAATAAATTACAGATATTCTAGAATAACGATTTTTATTACCAGTAGTGCATGAAAAGACGGAGCAAAACGATGTTCAATGAAAAATGGATACCCATAGATGACAGAACATAAATCAAAAAGAATATTCAGCAAAAGCTAACTGCCAACGGGACGAAATTTAACAAATAACAAAAACAACAATTTAAGAAAATTCTAGTTTTGAAATTAGACTGCTTATTGAAATAATTATCAAATCTTTTCAGATACACGCAGTGCTTTTCAGTGGGGCAGCGATAAAAAAATCTCAAAACAATTTCTAACTCATGACAAATCTCAGCAAGCCACCTTTCTGCATATCAACAGATTAAAATAATGAACAAATGCAATTAATAATGACTAAAAATTCTAGAATAACTTATAACGAACTACATTAACGGTGTCGTGCAATCGCTCAATATTTGCATACCTTTTGTCACTTGATTATCCACCTGTGACACCACTTTAACAAACCTTCAAAAAAATGCCAAAGTCAGAATTTTGCGCGTTAGATGCAGAAGATGACAGCGAAGAACCCACCATTCGACGAAGACATCCGTTTTATCACCTAGAAAATCCACCAGTTTACTCCGCAGGACCGTCGCATCGTTGCACGGATCAAACAGCACGAAGATATAATCCACGAGGGTTTTGTCTGCATCAGCAAGAAAAACAAAGTTGTTTATCCGGGTAAATCAATAGAAAGCAGCACAGAGGGTTAATAGCAGCAGCGCAGTGCTCACTGATTTTATCCTTCTGTTGAATTTCCTTCAGCTTGGCCTGGATTGCATCCTATCAAACGGAGTAAGAATCAATCAACAAGGTAGGGAGCGCCAGGAATCACATATTTTCATTAATGATTGCGATCTAACAGAAAACTATCGCAGGGAAATAGTAAGGAAAGTCCAGAATGATTTCAACGCACCCAAATACGACAGCCAACTTGTTTCGACAAACGCTGTAGCAATGGCATTGTGCTCTACACCGTCGCGGCGTTTCAAGGATAGTCAGATAGAAAACTCTCGCAGAATGTCCTTAAAAATGTAAATACCTGACAGGTAATTTATTAGTAACTACAGATATACCAACTAAAAAGCTCTCTGAAACGGGAAAACTAATGAGCTTAAAGAGCTTTCGATTTTTTGTAAACTGCAAGAACCGCTGTCGAGAAAATTTTTCGCTTTGCGCAGCGCTTCGTCTAATTGCAGTTTGCAGCTGACGTGCCACCCCAGGGTGGCAGCTGTGGTCGTAATCCAGTCCCAGTGCCGGCCTGATTCGGACAGAACAACAGTCAAGACAGAATGGTCACTATCAGTCATCGGTTATGAGTCAGCAAGAGCACCCATGGAAAACAACAACTGTTGTATTGCGAATTTGTGAGGAGCCAGTTTTTGTCAGTGTAAATTTTTCCAGAAATTACTCTGCGATATTAAAAACCTCGTCGTACTTGCTTAACTTTATGTGGGCATAATCGGTACAATGCTTTTCCAGTCCAGTAGAACGGTCCTCCGTCGCGTACTACCATCCGTTTGTCGCTGGAAACTGGGTGTTCCTTTTCCGTGTACATCTGCACGGTTGTTCAGCAGCCAGCCACGTCCACCAGTATCTCCCAGTCCCGGCCGTGCCATTGCCGCAGGAGATCTGGTACAGTCGGCTGATCCCTGGCTGTGGGCGTTCAACGACACGGCATACAAAAAACGCTGTGCCCACTGCTTCCAAGAGCGCGGGCATCTGCACGAGTGTCCCGGGTGTCGCGTGCATCGCTACTGTAGCACTGCTTGTCAGGTGAGTGGTCCTCGTTGTGGGCAACACGTGTCGGTTCCCGGGTATACTAACTGTTCCCCACAGGAAGCGGACTGGAAGAAGGAACACGAAGTGGAGTGTGCGCTGATCAAAGGCATTGAGTCCAACATGGACAAACTGCAATCCATGTGGGCACTGTTCGGTCTGTCTCGTCTGTCAGAACACGACCGGATGCCTGCGACGTTTGTTCTGCTGGCCAAACTTGCGCACAAAGTTAAGGTACTGTTCATGCCCAAATTTAAACATAAAATTTTTAAAAAATTCGTTACCACGTATCTAGAACTATGACGTTCTCATGCAGTAACTATTGAGTCTACTGTGCATAATTTTCGTAATTTTACGGTTACATGAAAGTGCTTATTTTAAACAGGACTAGTAAGTCGTTTTGGCGGTGTCAGAACAGTGTTTATAGCTTAGGCATGAACTTGCATAGGCGAATCTGCTGGAAACGCATGGTTGCATGTTTGTACATAGTTGAAATTATTGCAAGTACTTTAAAAAAAATAATGATGATCGATGACGCACCGTATTGCATTCTTTCACAGGAGAACGCCGTGTCGGATATTCCCGATCTTGGCCAGTTGCCGGCAAAGGACATCGTTAACTTGTTCCGCTACCGCCCCATCCTGGACCCCGAAGATCCAGTGTACGGCGTTGCATCCACTACCACGAGCATTCCATTAACCTTGCATGTTAATTTGTAGTGTGAACTTCACTAACATGCAGCTGTCTGCATTGGGTGATTTGTTGGGGACACCTGGTTCGAGATTAGCGGACTACTCCCAAATGATCCATTACGATGCCTTCCCCATTCGACAGCCAAGCGGAACCCTGGCGGGTGTGGCCATGTACCCGACACTGCGCTATCGTGCCATGACGCCGGTGTGTCTGGATGTCAACGTGACCATGGGGATGCATGGCCGACGTTTGATGGTGTTCGCGACGGAAGATATTCCCAATTACACCGGGCTGCGCGACGTATGTCTTCTTCGGCTTGTTTGCAATTTGCTCGTGCAGCGGTCATCTCGATTGTTGAGCATTTTGCGTTTTCAGTTACGCTGCAATGTAACGAGCCACCGTCCTTACGCAGAGTCGCGTGAGTCGCGTCGTAACGGTTTTGAATACTATAACCTCGACGAAGCTTGCACGTGCCAGAAATGCACGCGAGAATTTGTAAGTAATGCACTGAAATGATCTGTCTTGGGCTAGTTCGTAACTAGTGAAGTAGTGACTACCTTTCTGATTTGCAGGAAGCTGAGATGAATCCCTTGCAGTGCGTGACGCCTGGTTGTATTGCGCGCATTCCCAGTGATGCGCGGGCCGTGAAACCGTGTCCGCAGTGTGGCGCGAACAACAGCGGACAGCTCCTGCGCTTTCACCGGCTTGAGAAGAAGCTTGATAACGCTCGGAAAGATGAACCGAAAACCAAACCGGTCCTCGGTGCCATAACAGGCTTAATTGTAAAGAGAAGGGGCGAAATCATCTGGAAGCAGGACTTCGGTCATGAAAAGGAAGAGAAACCCGATGCGGGGTGCTTTAAGGAAGTCGAAAATGCCGGGATTTTGCAGTCCGATGCCCATCTTCGTTACGTGTATGGTTGGGATGTGAAGAACTGGTTTGCTGATCTGAAGCATTTCGAGGATGACTGGAAACTGATGCAGGAGATGGTTGCGTGTGTGCGGTAATTAATGAGTTTATTGTCGTTTTAAGTCATTTCAACAGTGAAATCAATCACGTTGTTGCAGGAAATTCCATCCACGGTATGAGCTGACCCGTGCTGCCCGTCTGATGATGGCGGCTAATTATGGTAGCGCTGCACTCGCTAAGGTCAAGTTGGAAGCGACATCCTTAAGCTCTGAACTGGACCGAATCCGCCTGGAATCCGCTGTAGCCAGCGCTCTCCCGATCGTTGTGGATTACGCCAAAGAAGCCCGCGATATCTTCGCTAAACTGTATGGTGAAGACTCATCCGAGGTGAAGAACATGGATCACATGTTGGCGTCTTGCCCGAGCGGGAATGTTGGGAAGAAACACAGTGACATCTGAAGTCATCGGCAGAGATTTCTCCCCTGTGGAGCGACTTTTGTGCACTACGAGTTTCTTGTCGGCACTTTGCGGCTGCTGGTGATGAATTCGGTTGCTGTTTTCACTTTTCATTACAAATATCTGGGTTACCTGCTCCGAGATGAAACTATTAACTATTGAATGCCTTTACTTAACTTTGCTCACATACAGTTAGCTTACAGATTACAGGGTATTGTAGAAGGTAGTAGAAACGCTCATTTAGTAATATCCTAATAAAACTGGCCCCGATCGATTTTTGTCATTGAGTGCTTATCTCGCCGGAACTTGGATCGACAATATCTACAGAATTTAGTTAGTTTACTTCGTTTGTTAATGTTTAGTTACACAGTAACTGATAATTATTCGCATGACGGAATAAATATAGCATATTATACTATAGTATGCTGTCAAATGTAGCTACGGTAGCGGCAAGCCTGCCTTGGGTCAGCGAGCTGGGCTGATTTCTGTAGAAGTATATATACTTCGGAATCGCCGTCACTTGAGATCACTGATCCGATCAGTCAAGGCAAGAAAAATCAACGCTTACTACACCGGCACACACGTATTGTCAAATTTATTTAATCCTCCGAAACTGCCAAACTTCAGAATCCGAACAGAACTCCTGCCAGAGTACTATAAGTACTTATTGCAACTCGCGGATTTCGATAAGCGCGAGGCGCATCCGAATACCATAGCCAAGTAAAAAGTTTTCTACTAGAAACTTTTACAAAAGCGAACATTCGAGAAAACACTAAGTACGAGTAGAAAAGCAAATGGATACGCACAACCGCGATCTCGAGCGGTTGGCGATCAAAACCACATTTCGATCCTAAACACTTTATCACCCTCGTACGGCAATTATATTCCGACACCGCACCCGAACGTCAACCCACCGCCCATTGCAAAATAAAAACGGCGTTTGGCAAACTATCCGGTAAGCCCGCCGGGCCGCCACGTGGAGCGCACCAGCAGCGTAGTGACCGGTGGTCACTGACCGCCGCCTCTGGTTCTTTAAGTTTACCATCACCTGAACGGAATTCGCCTCAGCCCGTGCTGGCCGCACAACCGATGCCACCGGTGGCTTAGACTTCACAAACCAACTCGGACGTGAAACGCCCGGGATGGAAGGATACGAAATGGGCCGGGATCGCTTTCAGCAAGTTGTCCTGAAGGCAATTGGGCAGACCTGCCAAACTGGCCGGCAGGTTGATCTGCACCTGCAATGTCAGAGCGCGGAACTCAGCACATTAGGCGTTTAATTCATGACCGAGATGACATACACCCTTAATTCTAATCCGGCACTGAACATATGAACACCAGTCCGTTTTGAATCGCACGACCAGTGAACTTTGAACCAATGGGTAATCAATTTGCCGCCCATTTCATACGCATGCATGATAAAAAGAAGTTCAACGCCATTGCGGAAACTAGGAGCTCTGGGTTTAAGCACGGACAACCCCCAAGCCCATTAAGAACCTATACGATGCCATTATGAACATTCAGACGCATGGTGAACTGGCGACTTAACAATATTCTATTTGCCTAGTTATGTCCTAGACCGGCAATTCGAAGGCGTCTTTAGTATCCGAAAGCCCAGAACTATGAACAAAGCTCAGGAACTGATACGGCCGGATTTCCCCATCGGCAAACCAGTGCACGCTTGGATTCGAAGATAGCACCAAGCATGTCGCCATTTGCACGGCAGTGCCCGCAACGGCTGTACCGCTCCAGTCGCCGGGTGCCGGGTGGGTACCCGCGACCGCAGAAAGCGATTTCGCAATCGGTCTATTAAAACACGCAAAGGCGCATACGGGCAGGCAGCGTAAGCTGGAACATCGCCAACGATTGTCGATGGCACAGACCCAGGTCGAACAAACTTGTGCCGGGAAGCCAACTATCTGTCTGAGCTAAGAGAGTCGCAGCTGCCAGGGATCATAGCCCCGTCGTCCCGTACAACTACTTATGTACGGTGGCGCGGGAGACTCAGAGCACAACCGGAGCACCGCAAGTCCTGGCTACAATCAGAGCCCAAACCAGGGATTCGGCGGTGGCAAAATAGCTCACTAGTTATTGTGCCGGACTACTGCGGCAAAGGTTGTTTTAACGCAGTGTGTTGTAAAAATAGTCAACAAACTATTTCGCTCACCATTAAGCGCGGTAAAATAGCCAAATGAATAATCATTATACCGCAAAGATTGCGGCAAAATAGCCACTTCGTAAAAATTAATATGTAAACAGCTAGCTGACGTAATATACGCACCGCGTATGCTATACCGACATGACCGCAGCAGCAGAGAAAGAACTCTGGAGATTGGTTTTTTTCTGTTGCCTACTTTTGTAGACACTACATTACCAAACGATGTCGATGTCACGATCTCATTACACTCACAAGCCTGTACCACAACGCTGTGACAACAGGAATACCAGCACGTAACTTCCGCCTAGGTATACAATAATACACTACTGCTTAACCTAAACGAAGGTCACACAGCACCAACACCAAAGGATTAAGCTCATTAAGGTGCTGTTAACCACTTTAATAACATCAATGTTCACTCAGACCAAGTCACACCGTAACTCTCCACAACCGGCAGATGCTGTTTGAAGACGAAGCTCAGCTTCTGATTGGAGGCTACCGATAAGAACACGGACAGTCTACGTCATCGCTAGTACAACTGTTAGCGTAAGTACTGTACGTACTACGTCGTAGTCCAGATCTGGGGTTGTGGATGTTATTGAAGCACTAGACACGTAGAAGGTTAACGCGCGATTACCAGAGCTGCCCGAACCAAGTTTTCGTAATTCGCAGACAATATGGGATTGCCTTTATGCAGTTTGTCCCTGTCCATTCTGCTGGAAGTTCACCGCAACGATGAGAACCATAAAGGCGTCTTCTTGCGCAGTCACGACCGAAGGCCGGCATTTGGCTTAGCGCACTACCGTCCGCGCCCACATCGGGAACTTGCTTGATGACCACATGTTGAACATTTCAGTCGCGCTTACCGTTAGACCTGGAGCTGTCACCTGTGAACCGTGTGATTGTATGAAATGCTGCAAGCCTGTTGGCTGTTTGGCACATCATGATCTGCCTGCCCTTTCCCTGCCGACAGGGATCCACAACATGGCAGTCTCACAAGCACTGTCTGCCGCGCCCTTGTATCAGTCGGAATCCCAGCTAAGCTTGAACCTCGTGGCACTTCTCGTACGAACGAACGACTCCCCGACGGTTGCGCAACTTTTGCATAGCAAAAGGGAATATGTCACTTTTTGAATGTCACTTTTGTCGACACAGTCGCTGTCGGTGACAAGTCCTCATCAACATATTTCGCAACGGGATGTAGATATTGTAGCGATTGAAATTAGATGAACCCCCAGTAGGAGTGTCAGTTGCCTTTCTCTACTGGTTACGGGTTGTTGTGTTATGAGATCAGAATCCTTCTTTCCTACATTTTACCGACCGCATCTCAGGGTCAGAAACATCTTGAAATTAGTCTTGCTGCAGCTTGTTTCGCGCCTTCCGCGCTTCTTGCCCCTGTGCTTTATGCAATATGCACTTCTTGCTACGCGCTAGCCGAGCTTCTTGCTCCATGCTTATGCGTTCTTGCTCCTCAGCTTGCATTGCTCGCTGATTCTTGCTTCGTGTACTTGCTAATAAACACCTGCGAGGCTGCGATGACCATGTGCAGTGCTGCCTAACCGCCATGGGATGATCGTGCAGCATTGTCACCCTGCAAACGGTAGTCAGGTTCCGGTCAGCATCGCTGGCGACCGTGCTAGCCTTTCCCACACTAACAGTCGACAGATCTTGGTAGGTGGATTAACCAACCCACTAGAACAGCAGTCAAACCGGGTGCAATTGGCAATTGCAATATACAATACAACTGGGAGACGTGCCATCGGTTACTGGTACAACGGATGGAGCGGAAACGTTTAATGAGCTTCTACTGTAGTACAGTAATGGTTACTTTACCCGGTAGCTTCCATTTGTTTTGTTTCACAACGTATCGTTTTACGCAGCAAAGCTTCTTCGTGTACGTACATACAATTAACCGGTTATAATAATACTTAAATTATTATTATCATTTGCACACAGCCCGTATATTACGTAATACTGTACAGTCACTACAGTACATTGGTTCAAAACTTCAAACCAGTACGTACATCATGTGGGCATCGTCATGCGCCTTGGTGTGGCAGCATCTTTAAGAAGCTCTTACTGGTTGCAGAGTGGTTGGCCGAAGATCAGTTCGATTGGTTTCACAAACTTTCTTTCGATGTGAACCAACCGTCTTACGGTTACTTAACTACGACTTCGCGACGTTTGTTTGTTTTTGCATTATCTGTTGTCATTCGTGAGATATAAGTGGTTGTTGGAAAGAATGTCCGATACCCGCACCCAAACGAGCGGATGCAGTAAGTAAAATGAATAAAATCGTCTTGCAACATGGTATGTTTGTGAATGAATTAGAAATTGCATAGCTGCAGTCGTATTGACCAGAGGAGTAGCCAATATAGTTAGCTAATGGTTTCGTCATGTTTACCTCTCAGATAACTTCATCGTCTTCCATGATATTTTGAAACTACGGGTGGGAAAGAGGAGAAGTGCACAATTAGCGTTGGTGGTAAAATACTAGCAAGAATCATGAGCACCGGTTCATGCAGTTCTCTAAAATTAAAACCCTGATGAACCTGTGTCACTGAAGTGGGAATGCAGTCAGTGATCAAGATAAGTACTTTTAACTTTTGGTGTGGCAGAAGACTGTGAAATTTAACGTTTTCCAATAACTTGTGTGATTGCGTTTGCAAGATCTTGTCATTTGAAGATCTTAAAAAAACATTGCAGATGGTAGTGTAGTCGGACTGAGTTATGTAACTGCAGTTGTGTAAATTGGGTGGTTTTCAGTTTTGCCAACCTCCCGTATCTTGGTCTTGCCTAGCAGTGTCGCTAATCCATTTCTCTGCAGTTTCATTTGAAGTTCAGCAGTTTTAGCTATTAGAAAATAAAAGCACTTTAGGACAAACTGCTTACGTTTTATGGCGTTGTTAGTTTGGTATCAAGGTTAGTACGTTATTGAGGAGCCAGATTGCAAGAAGTGTTAGTTGTTGCACATGTCAGAAGCATTAAATTTTGACAACACCCAGTATCTGATGTTTATTTCACCGCAGTGGCACCAGCCATGAAGCAGACCGTCGGGAAAATCATGGACGCCATCAATCTGATGCTGCCCAAAGGAAGCGAAGACGCGGTTCTGCACGACATCATGCAGAGCATCAAACGTCGACTCCACCCTGCCGATGTTGCGCCATCAATCCACCCAGAGCGTTTGGAGAGTGCTTCATCAATTTTCTCCGACATGTTGCTACAACCGACTCTTCTGCTGGCTGAAAACCGTCCAGGCAAGCATATGCGCTCGTACGAAAATCAGCGACTACATGTAGTAATAACATGACGGCTTTCTTCTAGGCGATCGTGATCGTAGTCCTTCACCCGATATGAACGATGCAGCTCTGGAAGCGGTCGGACTCAAGCCGCGAATCCGCCTACTGACGTCTGTCATGCGCAATCGTAAGTTTGGTGTGCTTTGAGTTTTTATAAGCGTCTGTTGTTGGAACTAGTTATAGTAAGTTAGAAACTTAAAGATTCTCCAGGCTCTGTACTGATTACGTAAGGGTGTGTTGCGGGACTCTGGTCTGGCTTCAGTTAAGCCGCAAGCATTTTCGCTGCACTTTGACGGTTTTTACATTCCGCACATCTTTATAATATGGATTCGCGTACCGATCACCAGAGACACGGTATACTGTACCTTTTTCCACATGACAAAAGCTTAAGAAAATTGATTGCGTGATGATAGTGTTTTTTATTCAAGATTGTACACGAGGTTAACAATGAATATCAAGTTTTCTGTTGGGGACCAATGCAGGGAATGCCTGAAGCCCCTGAACTTTGGTGTCCAGTACGCGAATCCGAGTTGTTAATGTGTCGGAAATGCGATAAACGTTAAAGTAATTGCAAACACTTCCCTTTCCTTTCGGATGATAAGGTCATTAGAGAACTGTTGTTATCCGCAAAATAAATAAGTTTAAAGTTACGCTTGTGTTGATAAGTGTTGAGAAGGAGTTTTCGGGTGTGGCGTACTACGGGCATGTCCCCGAACATAACCCGTAAAGGCAATATGGTGAAATCTTAAAGTGCCTGTTAACTACGTGCAGGATCGGAGAATTGGCAGCCCCTGCAGAATGCCCTGCCTGGTAGTGGTGATCGCGGAAAGAACATGACCTACGAACATCGGCAGCGTAAGCGTCACACTCAGCGCAGTCGGACGGTCGCTATGCCGGTCGCTTCTCCCCACAGTCGAATTGTCGTCAAGCTGCCGCAACCAGAGGCGGCACGCGGTGTTTTGAGTAACGATCCCATTCAGGTGCGCAACGCGGCGAACAGTATCATCGCGTACCGGTGTCCGCGGTGTCCGCAACAGAAAAGCACCAAGAAGGAAGTGATGATGCATCTGGCGTTTCACGGCATTAGCGGGAAATTTGCTTGTAACGAGTGCGATTTCGCTACCGACTCCAAGGTGATGTTCTACTATCACGCCATGGCGCATTCCAAGAAAGAGACTGGTCAACCGGGTGCACGAAAGAAGCGAACCACACTGCGCAATCCGTCGGCTGCTGGTAAGCAACACACTATAGTGATGTAATTTGATAACTCGACGCTTTTCCGTTTTCGCAGTCCGGACACTTTCACAATATTAGTTCGTGCACCGGACACGAGAGATACGGCATTCGCTGCATTGTTCCGCATTAGAGAACTTGGTAACTTTTTATTAATCAGGTGTACAACTTGCGTAAAAAACAGTATTTATCGTGTAAATAATTTTTCAAAAGTTGTTTGTCATATGGAAGAACGCGGAGAATACTGTGTCTCTGGTGTCCATCACACGACTCCCTATTGTGAATGTGCGTCCTTCGGTCCTTCTCTCAGTTGTAACCACCAGCAGAAGGTAACTGGATGTTTTTGTCGTTTTAATTTATAGATGACCTGTTTTCCAATCCAGCCAGTCCCACATCCTCGGCCGCAGAAGAGGGCATCGCGTGCGTCATCCCCAACTGTTCTTTCATGGGTCCGGACCGGCAGTCCATCGCGGAGCATCTGCGTAAGGAACACGGCCCGTGGCACCGTGTGCCTCCCTCCATGAAGGTTGCTGCAACGCCGAAACCCCCGATGAAAGGACCCGCCGTGATCTTGACGGGAGGCCGGAAGAAAGGCGCCAAACGGGGCCCGCGGGTCCGTGCCCGCGCCGTGACCGTGGCCAGCGCGGCCATGTCCAGGCACCAGTGCGTGGAGTGTCCGGATGCCTTTGGCTCCAAGACGCAGTTGTACCTGCACCGCTGCCGGGCGCATCCGCGCCGCCGCGGTCGCAAGCCGAAGGAACCGAGTGCCCAATCACTGGCGACGGGGATGCCGCCGCCGTTGGATGTGTCGGTTGCGGAGAGCAGCGAAGTGTGGACGGGTGAAGTGCAGTCGATCGGGGAGATCGAGGTGGAATAACGGAGCCGGTATGGGGTGGGTGTCCTTGGTGGATTTTTGTTTGGCTATGAGCCGGTTTTACTAAGAGCTGCTAACTGCAGCAGGACAGTCATTTTGCTGGGTTTTAGTTTGTTTCGTTTTTCATTGTGTAACCCTAAAAAAGAAATAGTGCAGCTGTTTTCCTATGAGTTTCGCACATTGTTCCAAGGTCGTTACCGAAAATCCGAGGAATTATTGATTTCTGTTGGACATTTATATATTGCGCCGTATAAGATGAGATGCGCTGGATACGTTTATATTTTTCTGTTGTTCTTGTTGTTTAGTCTACGAAAATAATAATAAAGTCTCATTTACATTGGTATTTACTGGCTTACGCAGCATTAACGGCTTGTAAAATCTATACGGCGGAATACAGTTACAGTATACCGATGAATGGCGTTATTAATTTTCGGGCTCAAAATTTTAATTTACCTGCCCTAGATCGACGCGGCAGTTTTGCTCAGCGAGGATTGCCGCGGAGTTTATTGCCTTGCGTACATTCTTTTATAATACGAGTATACAGTCGTACATTCTAATGTAAAAATTACAAATTAGTACTTCTACGGTAATATTTCTAAAATATCTATACGTGATACAAATCTTCCAATTCTACAGTACATATCAATTCTACAGTAAGCTATTATTCTGTCAATGTGTAATTTTAATCTATGTTTTCCCATGCAGTCCCCTACGCCGTGTGGTATTTTTAATTGTTAACGGTATCTTATTCTTTCGTACGACAATTACACCCAAAATTATTTCTGCTTGTTATAAGTACAGGTAAAATGCACTAAGAGAACCGGTTTTCATAGGAAGTGTTTGATGAATCCTTGACATTAGAAAGTTACACAAAAACCTTTGAAGTTATTTCAATCGAACAATTCCGCAAAGTAGGAAAAGACGTTAATTTCGTTTGGAGATAGATGACACGCCGAACAATGGGCCAACTGTCCGGCGTTATTCCGGTGAACAATGGCGAGAAACGCTCTAAGCCGCCTTTGGGTAATTCATCGCGGTTGATTTTTGGCAGAAGCTGATCGGTTTGTTAACAAGCTGCCGATATATACTGTAATCGAAAATTGAGAAAACTTTTTTAACGATATCACTGCCGATTTAGTATGATTGTACATGCTTCGTACACAACTACACATATTTCCGCACATTTTCAGCAATTGTTGACGGGGGTTTAACAAGAAAAACGCTCCCAGCTAGCATATTGTCATGATCGTTAAGTAGTACTACAAACGTTTTAACGTTGTGTGAACATTTCTCATAATCACTTCATTCTGGCCACGGCGATAAACTAATACAAACACTGTGTTCCTCTCCTCTGGTGTGACTTTTATATTTCACGCCTCAACGATTTATTACAGCAGCGCCGGAGATCGCGCACACACACTATGCACACAGTATCGTCGCAAATCAGCAGTGTTTTTGTATTATGCCAACAATATATTTTGCGGGTAAATAATTTTCTTCATGTGAATGGAGGACACCAAGCATAACCGGGTACATCCGGCGTTGGTGCGCTTTGAGACGATCCCCAGTTTCGACACGGACGAGAGTGCGGAGGGGTCGCCGGAAAATGTGCCGGTTAAGGTCATCGACGGTACGACATCGCCCATGTCCAACGGGAGTTATGGCGGCGGCACGTCGCCGGTCAGCGCGGTGAATTATAATGTCGATACGCAGACGCTGAGTCTGCTGGAGCAGACGCAGATCGAGAATGGGGCGGATGAGCGGACGCGGCTGCATCAGCGGCGCCGGTCGGGAGGGGCGCCGGAAGATGGTCGCGAGACGTGGACCAGTGGGATGGACTTCTTGCTCAGTATTATCGGGTTTGCCGTGGATCTCGCTGCCGTGTGGCGGTTCCCTTATTATGCCTACAAGAATGGAGGCGGTAAGGGATGTTCACCTTGCACCGCCATATAGTACAATAGTTTGATACGGTGGCGAAATAGTTATGCGTATATGCTCTGAAACAATCGAGAATTATGTATGGCAGTGTCAGATTGAACATTCGGTGGAATTATGATTCGGTGATTCACCCATGCGGTGAAATTATACAGTCAGAAAATGTGCGCATTAAGGTGGTGAGCTGAAGGTCACCGGCTAAGTAATCTTAAATTTCTGGACGATCGAGCGATCTGTCAGAGGGGCAAGCGTACAGATAAATTATAATTATAAAATCTGTAGATAAATTATAATTTATAAGTGCCAGCCTTTATTTACGTATTTCTTTTCCAGAATTTTTCTTGTTCAGTAGCCAGTGCACACTTTTGTTTGCAAATTTCAACTTTCGTTCACTTCGAATTTTGATTTTTGTTTCGTATAATTATAAGAAGTAATCGAATAAGCCAAGGTTGTTATAGAACGTGTTAGAAACGATGTGAACGCACTGCTGCAGGTAACCGAAAAAAGTAGAAGTTTTACTAGTTTTTTGTGAAGCGTGAACTGATCTGCATTGTGGGATAACCTTCTTGGAGAACTGCCACTTAACTACGATGGGCTGTTAATATTGTACATTTACACTTTTAGGGCAGAATTGTGCAGTTGAGCCGTGAGGATACAGAGTTATAAACTACAGTATATAAGTACCTCCATGACCTACCGTGCTTAGGATCTGGTAAAATAGTTTAATTAACTGTAAAATATGTTTCAGCTGTGTGTGCTTAACTGTGTGCTGCGCGTACTTAAAAATCGACAGGTATATTATGGTGTTATTCATTTACAAACTATTTCAATAAATTCCTATTATTACTTTACCTAATTTGCTAAAACTAATACAGAATTAGGATCAGTCTGGACGTGGTAATTATATGCCGTGTTGTTCAAAACATACAAAAGGATGCACAACTGCATACGCCTTTGCCGACTGTTTAGGTATCTTCCTAATACCATATTTTACGATGTTATTTATTGGAGCAGTGCCCTTATTATATCTGGAATTAATTATCGGACAATACAATCGTCAGGGCCCGGTCAGTGTGTGGCCATTACTGGTGCCAATATTTCAAGGTGTGTGCAGTACTGTATACAATACTGACTCGTGAATTACAGACATTCGTGCAATTGCAATCGCCAGGGTTGCTTGTTTTTATTTCTTACAGTTAGAGCGCCAGTTTCGCTGTATTTTATGGTGTAATTAATATTGTTTTACTATTAATATTGTTTTACTTGAATGCAGGAATCGGTTTTTGTGCCATATTGGTGTCTTTTTACGTTTCCTTCTATTATAAGTAAGTAATATTGTATTGCTTATAAACTTATGTTTATTCTTTCTGTCTTTAATAATGTTTTGCTTGATTACAGTAATATATTAGCATGGTCATTCTTCTATTTATTCGCCTCGCTCAACACCGAACTGCCCTGGTCAACGTGCGGCAACCAGACCTGGGTGACGCCCCTGTGCAATGACAACGACACCGTTCCACATTACGGAAATGCTTCCGTCAGAAATCTTTCCCGTTCACCGGCACAAGAATATTTCGAGTAAGATTACACTTAAATTAGAAATCTTTTTTAAGAAACAAGTTGACGCCCCACACTTGCGCGCTGATACTTTTTGTGAATTATTATGTCCGTTATTCTTTTCGTTGTAACCGTTGAACTGAGGCATGCTATTACTTATTTAAAATACGGTATTGTTAAATATATGTATGTACCGCGGTTTTATTACCTGAATTCATCGTAACTTCTGGTTTCGTATTTTATATGGATTAGGTGTGCGTAAAATCATATTGTTCAAAATTAATTCACTGACTGTAAAGGTTGAGTGCAATACGAAGTATTCGTACATGACATTTTTCTTCTAAGGAATCATGTTCTGGGCCTGCATAGCGAATCCGGCTTCGACAACATCGGCTGGCCCCGATGGCAGCTGGTACTGTGTCTGGCGTTGACCTATCTGCTCCTCTTCCTGGCCATGTTCAAGGGCGTCAAGAGCAGCGGCAAGGTAGCGTTGACTTGGCCATCATCGGGGCGTTTTTGGGGGTCGGTTCCTTAAGCGTATGTTCTAGGTAGTGTGGGTCACGGCCATAGCGCCTTACGTTATTTTGCTCATCCTATTCCTACGCGGCATCTTCCTCCCGGGAGCTCTCACCGGCATCCAGTTCTACATGACGTTTGATTTTAAACGACTGTTGGATGCCCAGGTGCGATATAAGGAGCACGATAGAAATATGCGATTTCGTACAATATTACTCGCGTGATTTTCTATGCAGTTAATTAAGTTTTCACAGTTACATAATATACTGTATTGTACTGTACAATAATCTGAGCAGCGCAGCGATGTGATTAGTCAAGGTTTGTAGATAAGCGGCGATTCGACGATCGGCTGGCCTGCGCCGAATAGTAAAATTAAAATGCATCAAAACGTTTTCGATTTTTAATGCTCCTGCATAAAATTTGATCATTTTTGCTCGACTTTGAAACTGTATATTGATGCCACGACTTAGGTTAAATGTCTTTTGAAAATATCACATGTTACATGTTCCGCTTAACGAGTTTGCTTCCTTTATATTAAAAAGCAATGTGCTTTTAATTTAAGCATTTTTAATTTGCTTTTAATGCTTTACCTTCGCTGGGAATCGGTAGAAAGTTCTCTAGGAGCATCTGTTAAAATGAGGAAAACATTATCGATATTACGCCGGTTGCTTAAATACTCTAAATAATTTTGTAGTACGTAACTAGATACAGTAATACCTCTACGCTCTACATACACTCGTCTACGCTCTACATCTGGAGACCTGCTAGCTTGTATATTATGTGTTACTACGCTACTGTCTACAGTTGTGGATCGACGCGGCCGTGCAGGTTTTCTATTCGACAGGCGCCGGTTTCGGCGTCCACCTGGCCCTGTCCAGCTACAACCAGTTCCATCACAACTCCCAACGCGACTGCCTGATAACGGTGGCCGCCAACGCGGCCGCCAGCCTGTTCTCCGGCTTCGTCGTCTTCACCTACTTGGGCTACATGGCCAACAAGCAGAACCTCCTCATCGATCATGTGGCCAAAGCCGGTAAGAAGGCTGACAAGTTGCTAACTTGTTTCTCCTCTTACGTGAACACTTGAGACAATACGCTCCCTAATTGAAGCCGCCACGGAACATGTCACCAACGGCTGATGGCGACGTTGGGCTAATGAGGCACTCTTTCCCCAAATTGTGAAGTAATCGTGTATATAACGCGTAATCACGTTGGGAGATTGACGCGGCGCCCGGCTGTGTATAGTGTATACTGTGCCGGTATACTTCTATGTATAAAATATATGTATATACGGCATTGCTGCTGTTGAAGTTTCTATACTGCCTGCAGGCGCTTCGCGGTCGATGCCGACGTGAAATCAATCAGGATAGTTTGGCGGAAAAAACAATGATTTGTGAAAATTTTTAACGCCTTAAGTGTCAGTGCGGCGGTGTTGGAGACGACAGGCTGGTTGGCACATGAAAAATGTGTTGACAGGTTGTTAGCGCGTTTATTACAGTGGATATGCCTAAACGGCGTAATTGTGCAGCGAAGCAGTTTTCTATTTCAGTAGCATAAATTAATATTTCGTACTGTGAAAAATCAAAAACAACGTGGATAGCAAACAGTGTTAATTGTGTGGAGAAATAGCTGTAGTGTTCTACGGCTTTCGGAGGGATACCGAAATGAAAATGTTCGAGCACAAAATACAGACACGGTACAAATCGTAGATGAGTGGCGTTTAGGGTGAGAATCCTATTAACTGACTCGTGTCACTTCCATATCGAAACGCTTTAATTTTACAATTCTTTTTAATTTTGAGTTTCCGTAAAATTTATTTTTAAGTGCCCAAAGTGTGAAGTAATCGTGTATATAACGCTCAATCATGTTAGTATATTTAATTGTTTTTGCTCAACTTCGAAAACATATTTTGATCGGGAACGTCCGACCATTTTCCATAAAAACACAACATTCTTTTCTAATTATGTTTGCTACTGCCTAATTAATAAAATATGAAGCATATTGTGCTAACAGAGAAGGTGAGATCTTTTTTATGATTGTTTGTGCATTTATTATTTTTATGAGGTTTTATGTGCCCCGCACGACTTTTCAAATTTCGTGCAAAAACAAAATTAATAATTATATTGATTGTTGTAGACCTTTGTATGTTTTAACACGGGATGCCAGTAATAAGTATGTATTGACTATCGTAGTATGGTGGCACGCTTTGATGCTAAACATTATCGTCTATCAAGTTAAACATGTATTTTATCAAGCCTGTTTTTTATTCTTCTGTATGAGACTTTATGATGACTGTAATGGTCGCTAATCCCATAACAACCGCGTCTGCTGACCAATATTCCATCGTAATAAATTACTGAAATAAGTGGCATTTAGCAGCGGACAATGCAATCACCCCCGCGATTACATGCCCATTACTTCCTCATATTTGCTCTGATTAAACAGGTCCCGGGCTGGTTTTTCAAGTCTATCCGGAAGCCATCGCCACGTTGCCGGGTGCGCCGCTGTGGTCGGTGCTGTTTTTTATCATGTTATTAACGCTCGGGATGGACAGTTCGGTAGGGCACGCTGATACAGTGTATATTGATTCCCTGGTGAAATATGATTGCATTTGAGTGCAATATGATCAGCAATGTGCGCATTAATAGATGGGCGGCATGGAGGCCATCCTCACCGGCATGCTGGATTATTTCCATAATTTCTTCCGTCGCTTCCGCTACGGCCGGGAAGGATTTACGGCATTTGTATGCGGCCTGTCCTTCCTCATCGGTCTAATCAACTGCACACCCGTATGTGGTCCTACCGGTTTGGCTTTACGTCTGTAATAATTAGTTTCTTTATTAAGGTCATCGGGGAAAGAAACTTGTTCGGTTTAGCCGACAACGTTCTAATCCAGATTTACATAATTAAATGGGTACAACTTATAGTAGGATGATATTCCAAATAAGCTCAAACTGTTATAAATTTGATGCATTTTACTTGCATGGTTAACCCTTTTACATCATTAATATTGAAAGCTGCGGTCTTATTATTGATTTTAGCATCAGAAAATAAAAATCACTCATTAACCGAGAACAGGATAATTTTATTTTCGAAAATATATGCGCTTTTTAAGTAATTTCTTTTTTGAGTTTCGCATTCATTTTTCCCATAGACGCACAAAAAAACTGGCATAATTTCATCCTATTTTATTATTAATTTATTACCGTTTTTTACGAGAATTTAATACCGTTGCTTTACATGCTTTTTGGTGAAAGGTGTATATTCCACAAAACGGTTTTCGTGCCCCCAATATTTAATGAAGCTTGACGTTAAAGCGTCTCCTATGACTGTATACGTTCAGTTTGGTAGAGTAGCGGCTAATACACATGTCGGCAGATTAGCCTTGCCGATAACAATAACGCTGTGGGAATTCGCTTAAAAGAGTTCATTTTTTCGTTTCGTTTATACGCAAAACTAGATTTGAGTTGACTTTTCCGTCTTAATTGCGTCGAAACCACAATAATTTTAAGCGCAGAGTGACGGCACACGTAATCATGCAGGCTTCATGGGAAGCGATAGATACAGTATAATCGTGTAAGAATTAGACTGAGCGTTATACGTAATTAGCACGAAAATTAGCTACTTAATTCCAACTGCTCTATTTGTTAATAAAATACATTACAGGCCGGCATATACACGTTCCAATGGTTCGACACCTTCTCAGCCGGCGTCTCCCTGCTCTTCGTGGCCTTCTTCGAAGCCATCGCCGTCGCGTGGTTCTACGGCATGACGCAGCTGCAGTCCGACATCCAGGAGATGTTGGGCCGGCCACCGGGATGGTTCTGGCGGGTGTGCTGGAAGATACTGACGCCGGTGTTTCTGCTGGTGGTCATTGTGCTGGCCGCGGCCACTTTTCCGGCATTGAAATACGATAACTACATCTATCCCGGCTGGGCCACGCCGGCCGGCTGGGTGTTCAGTCTGTCCAGTACGCTGCTCATCCCGGCGGTGGGTGTGTACAAGGTGGCCCGGACACCGGGGACATGGCGGCAAGTGCGTTGGCGTTCGGGGAAATTTGATAGATGATTGCGTCAGGAATGCGTTAATCGGTTGAGTGCAGTGATTGCTTTTTTTGCGTTTGTAGAAGATTGCTCTGAACATCTCACCGGCACGTGATCAGCAGGAGATTATTAAGAAGAACTACGTCAAGCGATTTAAGGTCAGGCGGGAAGTTTTTTCACGTAAACGTTTTGCAATTGACGCGATTCTGTGAAGAAATTTTCATACTCGTATGTGAATTAGTTTTGCATGCTGTAATACATTTTTATAGGTAGTATTATGTATGGTAGTATTATGAAAAAAGCTAAAGCAGCAGTACATACCGACGATGATACCGTACTTAATGGTACTGTTAAGGACTTCAGATACATGATTTAACGATCAAATACTTTCCGCGTTTTCTTGAAAATCCAGTAATTTCCAGTTTTAAGTGAATGAATACTTTCAGTCTTTGGTTTGTTACTAGTTTTGGGCGTGCTGTTCTGTGTACAACATCGGTCATACCGGCGTCAATTTGATGTACCTCATTAAAAAATATAGATATATGACGTAATTACTACCATCGTAGTGTATTGTGGTTTCATATTGCACGCTTGAATGAATGATTGTTTCTGCAGCGGAAGCACTGGTTTCAAATATGATCACTGAATGCGCGCTTCACCGCCCGTGATGTTGTGACAAAGCATTCCTGGGATCGGCTAGCCGGAAGTTGTCAGGGAGGATTGTTTGTTTCTGCAACGGGTTTTGTATTGCTATAGAACGATATGACGTAGAGCACGGGCTACGAGTGCACACGAAAAAGCGACAGTTTTGTTGTCAGAATTTAACTTTAACGCATTGAATCTTCATTAGACAGTTTTTGATCTTTTATTCTTCTGTGACAGTATTGTTGCGTAGTTAATAATTTTTAAATCCGCACATTTTTATCATAGTAAAATGTGTCAGGTATAAAGCATTGGCGTCTGCTGTCGGCAAAATCAATTTAGCGTAGCGAATGTAGTGAAGTGGCATTTGATCGCATTTAGTCCAGTCAACACTGCGGGGATGCCGCCACACTGACAAAATTGTTGGAATATAAAAGTGAAAGCTAATTTTTGTAGCTGGCCGTAAGTGTAAATAGCAGCTCTAATAAAATAACAGTAAACAGATGAATTATACAGCAGCTAAAATATATTGACAGTAGTTTTTCGTTTCCTCTAACTATCAGTTGTCAGTCGTCATTGTTACGGCCGATGTTTCTTGCGATAATTTGGTTCATATATTAGACTAAGTCTAATCCAGCATGAAAATTCACATTATAATATGTTGCGTTGCGTTTAGTGTGCTCTATCTATTTTTACGATCCCGATACGTAAAACCAAGTAATTTTTTAAAACGTATGTGTATATGTAATTACATTACTTAATCTTAATGTGGTTAACATTCGCGATAAGAAGAACCTTGTTTCGTGTTCGCTGCATTAGCAGTTGTTGGGAAAAAAACATGTACTACCTGCATTACGCGAAACACGGGTTTTTGCTTACAGTACATATTGTTGGAGCAAAGCATTATCGAGATGGCGTTTAATGCTCCTAATGCAACTACTGCAGAGGAACGACCACTATATTATTATTAAGGCTTTGCAATTTTTATTTGCGGGGCAAACGGTGCGGAAACATAAAAGTCCACTAATCATATAAACCAGTCAATCAGCATAAAAAACCTGTGCAGTCAGTCTTCGGTTGGTAAAAAGCAATCCAATATCGATTATACAAAAACAGCATTAAAACACTCCTCCCATCAGAATTACGGAAAACGGGAACAGACACTGTAGCGACAAGGACACCTGATCTCCTTTACAACATAATAATCAACGACCGGCACATATATATTCGCTCGGGCCGGGTTGGACAAGCGTGCACACAAATGGACAGAAAGAAAGAAAGCATATTTTTTTACACACAGCAGAGCAGAGAGAGGCGTTTCCCACGCTCCAACCCGATGGGAACCAGTGTGTTAGCCGCGTCCGAAGCAGGCGACGGCGTTGATGCTGCACAGCCGGAACTTGTTCCGCTTAGCCATTTCCAACTGTATGTTCAAAAAGAGAAAAAACAAGAGATTAGAGATTAACTGCGGGTAAATGATCAGCGCGGATATGTTTGACTAATCGTCGCCGTACCCGGGTAGGGAATTGTGATGCCGCCGAACTGCGTAGTCGTTCCGCTGCTTCGCGATTGAGAATGTAATCGACAACGGCATCATCCAGTCCCGATGCGCCCGCAGATCCGTATCCGCCGCTCTCCATGCCACTCAACTGCAACGTAGACACATCGTACGTTAGTGACCATTGGGAAAAATCCGCAACGTACCGTACAATAAAACGTAAAAGTGCGCACAATAATTCAAGAATCACCAGTATGTACAAGTTCACCTCGCTGCCATTAATGCATTATCTACAATAAATACTGCCTTCATAATTTTCACGCGGGGAATTAACTAGAAGAATATTATTGATACGTAGTGAAAAGTTTTTTACATAATAAAATAACCAGAATGTTTCGATATTACCAAACTATTCTCTAAAGGTAGAAACAATTCCCTCCAAGTAGTAATTTTTAAAAAATGTGTCCAGGTTATACTAAGTTAATAAAAGCAGATTTTGATGTTAATATTATTTCGCAGTAAAATTATGCTGAAATTTTATGTGCTTTATTAACCGAAACCATTTACAGTGTAATTTCTCTGTTTTCTTTGACAGTACTTTACATGTGAACCTGTATTCTGTCCAGACGTGAATAAACGTATTTTAAAGTTAGCTGATTCAATCAATATTGGTACAAGTAATCCGCCAACGAAGATACAAAATAACCTTCCTCATCGTCGTCATGAGGTCTGATCGCTATATGACATAACGGAATCTTGTAACGTCGACGGTACATCTTGGCCGGTGTAGGAAAAAATGTTTTGCGAATGGCATGCATTACATCATCGCCAGGGAATGACCTATGGTGGACTTTTTCGTCGTGGTGAAATTCAATCAGTTAATAGTGGGTTAGGTGCACGTTGTCCTCACTCGACACCATAGCCGTCAACAAATTCACTGTAGCTTGAATGCCAAGCCAACCGGAAGTGAGTGGAGTGGCGCGCCAAATACTGCCCTTGCTCATTGAATTTTCCCCTTTTTTATCGCTGCCGGTAATGTGATCCTTGTGTGGATGAACAATAACACAGTTATGTTATTACAAACTCTGCAACTGTGTGTGACGTAAATCGGTATTTAATTATTCCTAATAAACGGGGAGGAATGCCGTGGGGCATGCTTGTGATATATCGACAATTATAATGGACTGCAGCATAACGATTACCAGAAGGCCATCAAAGTCTTCACAATTCCGACAATCTTTCCATATACCGTATGCATAATTATGCCATTATTTAAAAAAATCTCGCTGTCATTTTGGCAAATTTCTTAATAAAATAACGTATATTATGCACAAAGAATAGTTGCCGTAATTTTTGGAATTTGCTGCAAACTATAATAAACTGACCTTTCGGTTTTTCCATCCAAAACTGACGCAAATTTTAAATGTATATTTTAGGTTTATCAGGTTTAACAGCGAATATCTTTTCGGTTTGTAGGTTTAACAGCGGATATCTATGCAAATATAACGGGGAAACGCGATTTGTGGAATGGGTACGATCCCCAATCAGGATAGCATAGAGGAAGTGTTCCTTTTGTAAATTCTGTTTGTTCTGGTGCATAGTTTGTACTCGTACCATGATACTTATTAAAGGTTTGGGATAAGGTTTATCAGCCGTTTATCAACAAAGAATTGTCGCAGACCGCTGAATTAGTTATTCAACAGTTTGATGTTCACGTAATCGCGGCATTGAATATCTACATCAGCAATCTGCACATCATCGGCTTCGTCAGTTCAGCTAACGGCTGCCCATTGAGGTCATTTGTATCGTTTGACACAACAATGTGACACAGTCCTTAAGCCACGCGCCGCATCCCCACAAGAGACGTAATCTGATACGACAACGTCCTGAACTCGAAAATAGAACTACTCTGGTCCCTGATTCCCTTTTATAAAAGTATAGTCCCCATATCCAGACAAACTGGGTTGGACAGTTTGCCGGTTTCCGTAATGAAAAGGTTTCACAGCGACTTCCGGCTAGTAAATGGCTTACGCTGCGCCCGACCGACACTTGTCCTCAACAAATTGGCCGTTGAGCCAGTTTTTAAACGTCAACACAAACTTACCAACGCACACTCAGCATTTAGTCCATATATTGCAAAACTATCCTAATTACTGCTATTCCGATGCACCACACAATCGATCAGCTAGACAAGCTTTCGGTTTAAAATACATTTAGATTATAACGTAATCGACATACTGCCAGCCTTTAAACTAGTGGAAGTACATGTATTAATAAAGAGGAGCACAATTAATTTGCACCATAAGGTCAACAGCGGCTCAGTATGTTGATGACCTTTCCAACTTTGTCATTAGCTTATGCTTAGTGCTTACAGATACTGCGTACTAGGAAAATCGCTACATCTCCGTAATTATTTAAAACTGTTTAATACATAACATGTATTTGTATTTCAACTAAAAACGAATGTAACACTGTCCATTTTGGTGTTGACCTTCTGTTCAGTAATACGATATCTCTAGTTACTTTTGTCGTAAAAACGCACATTCCATGAATAAAATCTCTTTATTTCTATGTATGATTTATAAATATAAACTCTTGATACGGCGGACGGTTTCTAAAATCATAGATATTCAAATCTAAATTTTCAAGTACTTACATCACTGATCGGCTGACCACGGGCATCCTGGACGAACACTCCAGCGACGACGAGCACAACAGCGCCAACGACAATCAAGGCATTCATATTGGCGAGTGACTAACGGAAAACTGACTCACAAAATAATCAGCGACAACAAGCCGAAAAGGGAAGACAGTGCTGTAATGAATCGCGAGCTGATATTAAAGGTGAGTTAAACAAAAGAATGCATTTGTAAGCAGCGTCAAGTCGATCAGCGCATGCCCTTTTATATATACACAAAAACTTCGTACAGCGGCGCATCTAGCACAGCCAATAAATGGACAATTTAATCAATCAGTTAAATCCCCTTAAAACACACTTATCCCATCGATCTCGGCAGACACACTATATGATTCCTCAATATATAAAGCTGGAGCGTACGTTATGCTCATGCCGGCGCATCAGTGTGACGTACGATAGACGGGTACGGCGCTGACAGGTTCACGGCAGGGATTCCGCGTACAACTTCCGCGTTTTCGGCGTTAATAATTAGATCGTATTGGGATGACGGGGGTGCGCATGCCAGCGTCGTTCGGTTTCCGGAGGGAATCGTACGAAAGTGGGACGACCATCAACGTGCACATACGTCCGTACGCACCTCAACCGGCTTTGCCCCACTTGCATAGTGTAATTTTTGAGTACATTTCATGCACGTAAGAGTATATGATTATCTTGTTGTATTATATTTTTTAGGTGCCACCCTAAATTACCTAAGTGCTATTTGTACAGGAAAAGGCCGGGCGCCGGTACTTATTTGAATTTAATTACAAAATGAATTTGCCTTTCCAGAATATCCAATTAAGTTGTCATGATCATTTGTACAGTCAGCGACAACAACCGTTAAAAAAAATTGCAAAAACGTTCTTTTCATGAATTAAAGGGAAAGGGTGTGTAACGTGCGGGATCGGTATATGCATGACAAAACGTAAATCCAAAACGATAAAACGAGGAGAGTGTTGACTATACCTGATCATTGTCGTGACTTGCAGTGACGTCGGCTTTTTGCTTTTTGTGTAATCAAGCTGTATATACCATTGTTATTATTATTACCGTTGCGGTGTAAGTACCACAACAATTTGTAAAGGTCAGGTTACCCGTAACTTCCATTTTAGCACGAATAATTAATTAATTTGACATAAAAAACTGTGTACTCATATACGTTCTTAACAATGCTGTAGAATAAAATGTTGTTTTAAGCCAAGAGACATTTCTAGAGCGTACATACGTGCATATGGTATACTGCAGGATTCAGATTTCTGGGATAGAATAACATGAGTACGTTGGGCACAATATTTAATAGCAGATTATACATCCAGTAATCTCCACGTAGTTATTAAGCCACCATATTGTACTATGCGTGTCTGTAACTTCTGGTACAATATTTTCGCGGTTAGAATCAAGGATGTATGCGAAAGTCTACCATTATAGAAAACTTGTAAAAATGTTTTGTCCCGCCAATCGGAATAAAGCGTCGATAATGTACTTACGTTCCTACTGACCGGATACAAATCATTATAAAATAATGAAAACTAATTGTAAGCAATAAGAAGCAAGGAACGATTTATATTACGCTTAGAATATAAGGAGTAAAATACTGCTAATGTGCTTTTAGGCAAATCGTACCTTCACTTTAAAAATTCGACATTTATCGAACAATTAATTTTTGATTTCGCGCGCACCATACAGATGCACACGGCATATATCTATATAAAATTTAGATATATCCATATAGAATTTAGGTATTGCAGCATACGGCAGATCTATATAGATATAATAATTATTACCATAATATTTTATACTCAGTTAAAATACTCCGTCACTCGCGCATCTTAACTTCGACGAAAGCATGGTCAAAACGGTCAGTTACTTTTGCGAGAATAAATTTCTTTTGTAATGCTTAACGAACCATAAATATGTATGTCTTTTGTACTCCGTACATACTCTGTAAATTAGTTTGTAAGTAATTTTATTAATACCGTATCTGATTTTAAACTTCCGCATTTAACCGCTTCCGTACACGTAATGTTAAACTCGCAAGTAAAGTGACCGCCGCCTGGTATCGGTTAGATGTTTCGCGCGAGTGCCTGGCAGTCAATAAGCCAACCATACATTTTGACACGCGTTTTGCAGGCTTCGAGCTGTTTGTGAGATGCCTGACTTTTATGACAGCTGCATACATCGTCAGCTTATTTCGTCATTTTATCGCTCTTTGAAGAGTTTTCGGTAATTCCACTTCCGCACTTTTTTTTGTAACGTTCTCTAGCGTGGCATCTGAATGGTACCAAATCTCGTTGGTAGGATGATGCTCTTTTGACCGAACACCATCTGCAGTGGGGGTTCTTGCATAATGTAGGCACGTGCGGAATTCTGTTCTTGGTGATCAGAGAGTTCTAGCTTCTTCACCAGCTTCTTGGGATATATCCTGTCAGCGTTACCAGTGCGTATCAGTTTTGCATATTTTATAAGTTTTTCCATCAACGATATCTGGATTGAAGCCATATTTTCTTGAATTTCTTCTCGGATAATGGACGGGATTGGACATGTAAGTCGACATTCACAGGAATACTTCCTCGCTTCACTTTCAAACTTTAACATTGTACTTTCTGTCACTGTACTGTACAAATGTTACTAGAAGATTTACTGTAAGTGTCGCCAAAAATTAGAAATGTAGGGTTTGAATTTTAGCTTTCGAGAACAAAGAAACTTTCCAGTTTTCTCGAGAGATAGTGAGACTAATTACTAGTAATCGAGAAATGCTGAGTGCGCACGCTAGTGTGTGACTCAACACACGAAAACAAACCAAACATACGCACACCGCAGAGTACTCTTATCAAACTGCTTGCGTAATGAATACCTGATTAATTAATTCATAATCGTTAAATCTCTTTGGCCGTTTTCATCGTCCTGAGATAACTGAAAGCCATGCAATCAAATGGCACCCTATTGTTGCCCATCGAAGAACCGAGGCTTAATTTCGTTCAAACTGTGGTTTTATGTCGCAGTCGTAAAAATTTAATTGTTTTTAATCCTTCCACTGCTCAAATTAATTTCAGTGTCTCTTGCACATCGTTGGCAGTATCAGCAGTGTCATTAATGCGCCAAAGCAGCGGTAGTGATGCTCAGATCGCGTAAAAGTCGCATTCGGATTCTTAATTCTTTTTTCGAATTTATCACGTATTTTATGGGATGTTTTTCTCTGATTTTCTATTTGAACTGGATTGCGTTGATGTGGATATATTTGGAATTTGTAATATTTTATTCATGATTTTCGGAATTTAACTGGTTTTAGCTGGTTTGTGTTGATGTAGACGTATTTGGAATAAATAACAAATTTTTTTATTTATTTATTCAATTTTTCGGAATTGATCCGATTTTAATTGGTTCTGCTTTGGTGTGAGTAGCATAACAGCAACGGGAAGCCCAACAACCACCACATGTCGTCCAACCATCCCGGCCAGCAGACGGCGCGGAGTATCTTCGTGGAGCGCGACTACACGCAGGGCATACAGGTGCGATTTCTGGATAAATTCCCGCCGGAGCTGGAAGGGAAGGTAAGACACGGCCAACAGGGAATTTCCGCGTGTTCGTGGGGAATTCGGGGAATTTGAGTTGATAATGCGTGACGGTGTGATTGGCAGCTGGAGCCCGGGACGTTCCAGGCCATCATCCAGCGTCTGAACGAGATCTACGAGGACGCGGAGACGCCCAGCTGCGCGACGGCCTGGGAGAACTGTATCGGCTGCTGCACCTGCTATCTGGCCTTCCTCTTCATGGAGAGCCGATATAATCACGTAAGCTGGTGGTTTTTGTGTGGTTTAAGACGTTACTGACTTCAACTTCAGCTCTGAAAAATCCGTCTGATTTTTTTATGCAATACCTAGCAAATCAAACGATTCGATAATGTTAATAATCTGCGGAAATTATGGTAAAGTATTTAGCGATCGACGACTAGAATATTCCGACTACTTTTTATTCATCTACCTAACCGCTTTTTTTAATGATATACCTGTCAATACGAGTGCATTTAAATAACTTTTGTCCTTACAGTTTTCGTTTTTCTACCGCTGTGGAACGTCTTAATTAAAATCCGCATTTTGTAATAAGGTTGAATAAATGAGTTAGGTATAATTAGGCTTAGCTTTACGTATTCGCGGTATTTACAGATACAAAGCGAGCTCGCTCAGCAAATATATGTACAATCAAAGTTTATCATTATTGCCGTGCTTTCTGGGAGCCTGTTTGAAATCTTTGACAATTATTTTTTGGCTATGATTGGTTTATCTGTCGAAAATAAATATCTGTCCATGCACTTGAGTGGAATTCTGTGTTTTGTTTCTTTAGTACCTGAAGAAAGCCCGCTCGTACATTGCCGAGCAGAATCGCACATTGTCGGCTCGTGGTGTCACGTTTGTTGATCCGTACGAAAGAGGGATGCGTCTGGTATGTCACGATTTACCATTAGTCTTTTTATTGCCCATAGTGGTGGTTGTTTTGAATGTTTTGCCACTTCCGTCACGTTTTGTTTTACACTTCTGTTGTTTGACGAAAGTAATGTTGCGTGGGCCATTTCCTTAAAGCTTTGACATAATTTTATGTATGTGGAAATACAAATCTCATGCCCATATGTATTTATTTAATTTAAGGTTTTAAATTTTGATGAAAATTAATTTCGGAAAGTCTTTCACTGGGTCTGGCCACAATAAATTTTCTTCGTAGAGCAGTTTGCTGTGTCAAAGCTGTAGATAACTTTTTTTATTGTGACACAGTTTAGATGTTTGTTACCTGTTTTTGTTTGTTTTTCTGGTTTAATTCGATAAATTTTAGTCGTAACTCGTGTTTAAGTATCGTTGTGAAATCCGGCAGTTAGCTCTTGGCGCTTAAACACTTATTCCCGTTTTCGTTTTCAGATTGAAATCCGCATCAAATGAAGTTCCGTGCAGTTTCTGCCTAACTTTTTATGATCTTGGATATTGGTTTCCGGTTGGCTGCTAACACAGTACACACTAGAGTTTATTATTGTGCTGTTGTGTATTATGATTTATGATACAGATACATTTTGTGTTTAACACTTGGATTGTTTTTCATTTGTTTTTAATCGTGCTGTTTGTTGCTTTTCTACAATTTTCTTGCGCATGTGTTTCTTTTATGGCCATTTGTAATGTTCCCCACCCTCGAAATGTGGTTCGTAGATGAATGATGTTCCACTGTAATCCCTGCTGTTTTGTGCAAACGATGAAAAATTTCTACCGCAACGTTATTTTTTACAAAATAGTGTGAATTTGTCATAACAAATTTGAGAAAGAAATTTATATGAACCCCATCGAAACAGAGTAGGCCGAAAAATGGTGTTTCGAGTTCGGCAGAAAAAGATCAGTTCACTTTTTCTGAAACCGTTCGAGACATATCGTTTATTTTGTGAACCGCGACAAAATCGTCACAAGATTGGGTGAAACCGTGAAAGCAGTACAATATTTATTCATCGGCTTCCGTCTCCGCATCTGAACTGGCTTTCTGCCAAAAACATGCACATGAAGGCTGGATCGATCTTCTCCCGGTTGGTCATGGAAACCGGCTGACATACGGTGGAGTGCAGGTGCAGACTGCAGAGCATTATAAGCTTCCAATGGGTCAAACTGCCGTTCTGCAGAAGCAAATACATCTACCAGGGATTCACAGTTCACACCATCCACTGCTGGTTAATCGGCATTCCAGAGTGATTCCGCCATGCTGACCCACCCGTTCACGCTGCAAACCGACGGACATGTAGGTTGCATCAGGAAGGTCAACATTTACATTCAGCCAAACGTTTCTACGAGAAACTGAAACAGCGTACCTGTATGCGTGAACAATGGCAACTTCAGAGTCAGATGCATCGTAGGTCCGTAGTTAAAATATTGACTAATAATTCCGTAATACTTGCTATTTATATTAATAATTTTTATTCTAGCACTTCTCCATCCATCTGCAGAACTGCGAATTACGTAAAACGATAAAATGGTGAAATATTGTATAATAATACAGTACAGTACAGTACTTCTAGTACTGTGTTTGTAACGGTGGACGCTTTGTATCTCTACTTTGCAGAATGTAGTGTGTGCACTTGGACGCGATGACTCTTTTACATGGCGATCGCAAAAAAACCCCTGGAGTATGGCTAATATAGATATGGACTGGCTAAGTACGTACTGCACTGTGCACTCTGCAAGACGGTGGTACGCTGACCGCAAGTCGCACGCACCGGATTGCGAGTACGTATACTTATTTATCAGGGAATTCACGTTCCTGTACGAGAACGTACGGTGGCAGCACTGTCCGCCGTCCGGCGTTTCCGCTTACTCTACCAGTATGCCACCGGATCGGCCATACACTGGCACACAGAGGATTCAACTTCACACTGCACCGACAACATACGCAATACAATTACGTACTTACAATTACTGCAGTTTGTTAATAGCAGATTTTTGCGATGCACGAATGCTTGTAGAGTTTCTGACTTTTGGGTTCTCCACTCTTCCTTTTGCGCTAGAACCTTGACTAACAATTTAGACCATTATCTTCAACATCATCTTTCAAGTACGGATTCTTGTTCGAGCCTATTAGTGATTTCCAGAGTAGACAGCATGGCGGACGGGGTGGGCATCGATCTGGGCACAACTTATTGCTGCCTGTTCGTGTACAAGCATGGCCACAGTCCGCAGGTGATCAAGAATGATTTCGACGATAGGACCACGCCGTCCTGGGTGCGCCTGAAGCGGGACGGGATTGAAGTGGGCAAACATGCCAAACGACAAAGTTCGGACAACAGCAATACAGTTCGGATTATTAAGCGCCTCATTGGACGCAGCTTCGATGTTGATGCAGCGACAAAAGAATGCAGTTAATAGGGACCAGTGCCGTATATGACTGCGTAATATACTCGTATACTGTGCTGACGGAAAGTGAAAGTAATAGTTCTTAACTATAACTTTAATCACACAACAAGCAAGAATAACAATGAGATGGAAAGCAACAGGAAATGGTAGACCGATCGCTGGAATGATCGATATCATTCACAGCAAAGCAAAACCTTATATCTTAGTGCAACCGTGTTGCAACGATTCTAGAAAGTTCGGTAACTTTCATGAGGAAATAAACATGAGAACAATCTCTTAGATTGTCAAGCGTTATGGCCAAAGCCATAACGTGCTCATCCATGCACACACACACGCAGTTAAACAAGCTGTAATAAAACGCATCATGCACAAACACAAGTTTAGCAATAAAGCTCATAAACAGAGTCGCCTTTCAAATGACCGCTATGCGTATACCGGCGTAACATTCTCCCCTCCTTAACGGTTGCGTCCTCGCAACCGGAAACGCCAACTGCCGGGGGCATCAGGTCCATCCAGGTGATCGTAGGCGATGCATTCACGAACGTAAGCCCGCTTGCAACGTTTGCAAATAACCATATGGAACGTTTCCATGACGAGAGAGATGAGGCTTATCTCTGCTTCTCCGCACTGGCTGGAGAGGAAGTGTGGCGGGGGAGGATGTCGCCATCACTGGGCCAGTAAAACTGGCATCGCATTTGGGCACCGTTGCGTCCAACGTTGCGCAACTGAACGTCGAACGGACATTCAGTGTATAACCGGGTGCGTAATCGGTTACCGGTCGGCAACCACAACCGACCACTGGCTCCTCCACTGTACCGCTACGCGCGCGTGACTCACTACAGTACAACGCTTTGTTCCAAAAGCGTTTCATCTCCGGGACATCTGAGTATCTCCGGCCACGGTTTCAGCTGATCAGACTGTCGCCGTTCCGCACTCCATTCCCGGCGGAGCCAAGGGGATCCACGTCCCACTTCCGTAACTTCTGCATGGGGGTTTCCAGGATATGGAACTATCCCGCATCTCGGTAAGCCGGCATTGATTCGGACACTTCGCGACACGCTCCGTGGCTGCCGTAGGTCCAGCTGATCCCTGCACATAACTGACACAATGGACAACGTATTCAATACGCACCAAAAGGCTTGCACTACACAGGCAGCCATCGTTGTCCTCATCGGCCATATCCGCACACTGGCCGATACTGCAATATCGTCCTTGACGATGCCAGATGCACCAAACGTGACATTCAAACTGCTCCTTCTCGTAAGCGGCGACACTGCGTACGACTGTATCGCTTCCAGCCACGACACATTGTACCAGTCAGGATCCGTAATCCCGGCCGTATTCTGCGACCTGCACCGTGTGCAGTCGCTTGCCATGACGTAGTGCTAGTCGTCGTACGTACTGTTTTTGGCCTCCAAATACAGTACGTGCGAAACTCGCTGCATATCCGTAAGGAACTCCATAGGCGTTTTGGCTGTGCTCATGGCAAGGCGCTGACAAAATTCTGGAAGGAGACCATTTCGGAGCCGAGTGATGACGGCATCATCGTCCATGTCGCGGTCGATGCGGTCACACATTGCCAAAACATCATTGTAGTAATCTTCGAGTGGCTCGTCGGGGTCCTGTTTTCGGTCACGTAACTGTCGTTTGAGACGGGTGCAGTAATCTTTGGACTGGAAGCGCTTGACTAAGGCTTCCAGGAACAACTTCGTTGTGGCAAACGGTTTCTTCTCTCCGTCTTCGCTCACCTTGTACCACCATGTTGCGGCAAATCCATCCAAGTAAGCCGGAAGCTGACGAAGCGCCTTGGCATCATCCCACTCCAGGGCGGCAACAATCACTTTGTACCGGCGCACCCACTGCTCGACGTCTTCCCCAGCACGTCCGCTGTAGAGGGGTGGCCTCATATCCGTACCGATACAAAGGTCAGAAAATTGTGTGGCCAGCGCTCTTGAATCTAACATAATGTTACGGTTCGCGCTGTCTTGCGTTCCACCGACTTTCGTCGTCCCTGACTCGGTGGTGGACATGATTGTTGACGACGTGTCAGAAAAAAAATATTCCGCAGCAGCAACAAACAATTACGATAAAGGCAATCAACGTAATCACTGTACGACGCTGGTATCTGTTCGATAAAGGTCACGCGTCGTGACGGAATAAATAGCTGGTAAAAGCACCGCTAAACGAACTCACACTGTGAACGCTTCCGTCCACGGTTTCGGCACCAATAATAGGGACCAGTGCCGTATATGACTGCGTAATATACTCGTATACTGTGCTGACGGAAAGTGAAAGTAATAGTTCTTAACTATAACTTTAATCACACAACAAGCAAGAATAACAATGAGATGGAAAGCAACAGGAAATGGTAGACCGATCGCTGGAATGATCGATATCATTCACAGCAAAGCAAAACCTTATATCTTAGTGCAACCGTGTTGCAACGATTCTAGAAAGTTCGGTAACTTTCATGAGGAAATAAACATGAGAACAATCTCTTAGATTGTCAAGCGTTATGGCCAAAGCCATAACGTGCTCATCCATGCACACACACACGCAGTTAAACAAGCTGTAATAAAACGCATCATGCACAAACACAAGTTTAGCAATAAAGCTCATAAACAGAGTCGCCTTTCAAATGACCGCTATGCGTATACCGGCGTAACACAGTCTGATGCCCTTCGCAATTATCAGCGACGAAGGATCTCCTGCAGTTGAGGTGCGTGAGTGTACTTATGCAACGCGGTTATGATTTGTTAGTAACATGGACTGTAATAATAATTATGATCGTGATTATGATTAATCGATCTAATAGCCGTTATGTTACTTATTAATACTACACATACCTGCTTAAATTAAGTTTTTTTAAAACTTTTTAAATTACTCAATTAATATTGAAACGCAACTACGGTATAATCTTGGTTTTAAATAATACATAAAATAATATTTACCTGGTGATATTAGCAATAATCAACCTTCATTATCATAGACTAATAGCAAATTTACAAGACTACTCGTGTGTTTGTAACTTTTTATTGTGTGAAAATTAAGGCTGGCACTTAGCACTTGTATCCATTCCAGAAATCTTAACACTACGCAGCTGCCGTTAAATAAAAGTCATGAACCAGACCTGGGCAGTTAATTTTAACTATTTAACTTAACGCGAGTTATTTTCGAGTTATTGAGTTATAACTTAACTTCTTAGCGTAACTCGTTCAGAAGAAAACTTAACTCTAACTTAACTCTCATAAAATTTCTATATATTGTCTATGGTAGCGTAGCTCGCGGTGTAACTCGAAACTCGGTTTTCCTGCCTAAATAACTTAACTCTTAGCGCAACTCGCAAGCTTCTTGTAACTCGTAACTTTAACTGCGGATCGATTTTCTATAACTGCCCAGGTCTGTCATGAACATAGCAACTGCCAATTGCAATTTTTTTCTGCCAGAAGTGACAGGGAATAGAAACTAGTGCGTCGTATAATACACCATGATTGCTAATTTTATGCTGAAGCACTGTTTAGGTTTTGCCTACAAAGTTTTCGGCTATTTTGCAGGTGAATCAGGACAGCGAGGCGGGTAAGTTGATGTGGTCGAAGATGGTCGGTCCGGAATATATCAGCGAGAAAATGTTGGAGTATTTGAAGGAGATGGCTGAAGGGTTTCTGGGCAGCAAAGTGACCTCCGCGGTGGTGACGGTTCCGTCCAACTTTAGTAAGGCCCAACGCGCTGTCACGTTGGCTTGCGCCAACGTGGACCTAAAACTGCACAAACTGAACGGAAACCTTGATTACGATTTAGAGCTGACAAAAGCGGCCTTTAGCAAGATGTTTCATGGTCTGCTCGAGAAGATCCTCGTCCATGTGAAGAACGCCCTGGATGCCGCAGAGCTGTCGCGGAACGATATCGACAAGGTCATCTTGGTGGGGGGCAGCAGCCGGCTGCCGGTGGTGAAGGAGACGTTACAGGCGTTTTTCGGTCGTGACGGCGTGGTGTGCGCGGACGCCGATCCGGATGAGACGATAGCGCGTGGCGCTGCCATACGTTCCTATCGCCTCAACAATGGCCAGGCAACCAGCGTCCATGAGGAGCTACTGGACGATATGCTACGGGGAGCTGTGCAAGTCCCAAGTCCGATGGACCCCACCTTCGAGTTGTACAAAGGTTGGACATTTACTGTCGTGGTCCAGCGTGGCAAAGGAAATTGTTGTAAGAAATCTGTATGCAACATAATTGATGAGGTCGTCAGTAGTAGACTCGTTACTGTTACTGTGGCGCTTTACGATTGCATATGATTCAAGTTTACGATGTCGGCAGCGGCATTAATTATTTGCTGCAGATTACTTCTTACTGTTTTTAAATTCAGAAATTTTAAGTAATTGAGTAATGTGAGACTGGTATCTGTAGTGGAAGCCCGTGTACAATTGTACCTGGGAAATGAATAAGCTGCGTAGATTAATGCAGAAGAATTATCGTAGTGCAATGGCAATCGTAACCAGCGCTGTATATAAAACATTGTATAAGTTTTAAAACCTTTATTTCCGTAGCCACACGAATAACACATATAATGTTTATATCAAGAATAATGCTTATATCTGTTGCCTTACTTGATATAAACATTGAAAAAACAGCCAGGTCTGTGTTTGTATAAGAAATAGTGTATAACTTGCAGACTTGTACGTATAACGTATACATGTATACATCCGTAAATAAAATTTTATGACAGTCAGTGTCATTTGCTCGGGAAGCGCCATTCTACGTGATGCATGCTGCATTATTTTGTCTTCGATTGGAAAGTACTTATAATTCGTCTAATCGGTGTTTGACTTTAGGGTATAAAGAGTTTTGCAAGGCCGACAATAAAATGGCTGAAATCAAAGGCAGGGTCGAGATGCAGGCGCAGTCCAGTAGCACGCGTAGACCAGATGTTCATGTGATTTTTGGTAGCAAGAATCCAGCAGCTTTGAAGACCTTTATACTGACTTTGTTGACATCTGATGTGTAAGAGATTTTCCGCCAAAACCTGCAAAAATTAACCGGTTTTCTGTTAGAGCACAGCACTGTTATATTTTCAGAGGATTCATTGAAGAGATTGATTTCAAAAAGAACGGTCGGAATGGCATTTACACGGAGACCTATCTTGCGCAGACGAAAACTTTGTTCGAATTGGATGTGAACGCGAATGAGAACTTTGTGTACTTGGTTAGTACTTACAATTAGTACGTAACAATTTATCCCTGCTTGTGTGTATGCTGTATCTGTATAACTCCGAACTTTTTGCACAATCACAATAAGCGCCCTAGAATTACAGCAACTAAAACTTGAAATTGATAATTACGACGCTATGAAATAAACGAATTTTATTGTCTGTACTGCAGTTCTAACAGGTACACAAACAAGAACCAATGTATTCAAATAGCACCTGCATTTTGTCGGTATTAGCAGTATCGTGACTCTTGTTAATTTTCTCCCCCAGGCTGGACAGAAGCCCCCAAATCCGGTGCACAAGAAAGGTTTCCCCTACGAGTGGAGCCTTAGTAATCATCCTGGGAAAAACCCCCGGGATACGGTTAGCCCACAACAACATCGCGATATGGAAAAGAAACAGCAAGCCGTTCGGCAGAAAACAGGATCAGCGGCTGCTGGTGAAACAGGTGGACGCGGTCAAACCGGAACAGTAGGACAGTCCGCCAACGTGCCGGGAGGTGATGCCGCTTCATCTGCAAGACGCGCCATAAATGCGCCCACCGGCACATCAACTGGAGCTGGGTCTGGTGGTTCTTCAAGCAGCGTACCCGCCGTCGCTAGTGAAAGCGACAAGAAATGCTGTTGGATTACTTAGGTCCTTCAATAAACCAACCCGTATTTGCTTTTTATGTTCTAGCTCGGGTGCAGTACTCGGTAACTTAGCGGCTTAATTTTGTAATAAGGTTTTTCTTTTCCGGGAATTATGCAGGTGTGAAACGTGGAAATCACAAATAAATTTTGTCGCGATAAATAACCATAGCCATACACTTAACCATACGCTATGGTTAAGTGCGAGCGTATGGTAAGTGCGGATACCATACAAACTCGTTGTATGGTAGCTGACTTCCAACAGCTCCTCTTAACTCCTGTATACTTTAATTTTGCTTGAGGTAGACTTTTCAAGTACAGAAAACATCAGAGAATTTAAGTTTTGATATTTCAAAGGATTCCACGGCACATAGCACGAGGAAAAAAAATAAATTCGAAGACCCCTAGAAATCAGTTGCGGTTGTTGTAAGGTATTCTGTACACTGCCACTTCGATGGCGGTCGTCCAGCTACCCGATAAGCGATGGTTAAGGTATGGTTATGGTGTTTTTTGCAAAAAGCCTCGACAATAAATTTAATGTACAGTGCGTACCTCGCAATTTTTTCTCGGAAATCGCAAACTATTCAAATCGAACTGGCTCATTGAGAGTGAAGCTTTTTCGATAGGCACGGTATACTTTTTTACAGTTTTCGTCCAACAGGCGCTGTTGGTTCTGTTCCGAACTGCCGTCGACTACGCGTACGATGCGCGACAACTTCGGGCGACGCCAAACCCAAACCCGCCGTCGCTAGTGAAAGCGACAAGAAATGCTGTTGGATTACTTAGGTCCTTCAATAAACCAACCCGTATTTGCTTTTTATGTTCTAGCTCGGGTGCAGTACTCGGTAACTTAGCGGCTTAATTTTGTAATAAGGTTTTTCTTTTCCGGGAATTATGCAGGTGTGAAACGTGGAAATCACAAATAAATTTTGTCGCGATAAATAACCATAGCCATACACTTAACCATACGCTATGGTTAAGTGCGAGCGTATGGTAAGTGCGGATACCATACAAACTCGTTGTATGGTAGCTGACTTCAACAGCTCCTCTTAACTCCTGTATACTTTAATTTTGCTTGAGGTAGACTTTTCAAGTACAGAAAACATCAGAGAATTTAAGTTTTGATATTTCAAAGGATTCCACGGCACATAGCACGAGGAAAAAAAATAAATTCGAAGACCCCTAGAAATCAGTTGCGGTTGTTGTAAGGTATTCTGTACACTGCCACTTCGATGGCGGTCGTCCAGCTACCCGATAAGCGATGGTTAAGGTATGGTTATGGTGTTTTTTGCAAAAAGCCTCGACAATAAATTTAATGTACAGTGCGTACCTCGCAATTTTTTCTCGGAAATCGCAAACTATTCAAATCGAACTGGCTCATTGAGAGTGAAGCTTTTTCGATAGGCACGGTATACTTTTTTACAGTTTTCGTCCAACAGGCGCTGTTGGTTCTGTTCCGAACTGCCGTCGACTACGCGTACGATGCGCGACAACTTCGGGCGACGCCAAACCTATTTCCTAGGCTGAAGTGGCCTTTACGCTCACCACCTCTTCACTGCATTCCAGATAATATCATTCTGCTGTGGTATTTTGTTTCATATGCGCCGAAAGTTCTTTGTTGTTATGACATCATTCCGATGATGTCAGATGCTTATATAATTTGGTTTTGATGATTGCATAATTGTGTTTTGATTACCTAATCTTGTTGTGGTTTAGTGTTTGTGTGTTTTGCATTTTTGAATTCGCTTTGATGTGCCGCTAATAAAAGGCGCGCTTGCAGAGCGCCTGAACACCAGTGTAAAATCAGTTGCAAAGAGTTTTGATTAAAAGTCGAACCTGCCTTGAGTTGTGTTTTTCCCCCATTGTAACAAGTGGCGTGAGAGGATTAACTACGAGCTTGTGGATATAGCCCATTGGATTTATAACGGGAGGTAAGTTGCTGACAAAGGTCAGCTTTAGAGTTGATTTTGACCTATAAAGGTCAGAAGATTCTGGTAAAAAGTATCCGGCCTAAAGTAAAGGTCAGGATTTTTGTGGATAATATATCCGACCGAATAAAGGTCAGGACTTGCTGAGAGTTTAGAAGTGAGCTGTAACAAACCAGGTGACCTTTCACCGGGACTTGAACGGATCCGTATAATTTAGAAAGGACGTCCATCAGACTCCGTCAAATCGGAGAGTGTGGTTCTTTGGAAAACTTGAAGACCCTAGGGTAAAACACTTGGGTGTAGCGCAGTCTGGCTAATTGCGCATAAGCACTCACGCAATTTGTTTAAAGAGAACCGCCAAAAGAATACAGAAGCGTACGCAAAGTGTGAATTTCATTTCTGCAGAAAATAATTTGTTGATTGCTTTGAAAAAGGTCACAGGACCAAAGGAAAATAAAGCGAAGAGTCATAAGACGAAAAAAAAATTAAGCATATTTGAATTTTGATTCAGAAGATAAAAATTGAAAGTTTCTAATAGAAAAGGGGAATAGTAAAATAAATGTGAGCCAAAAGTGGCGACAGACAGGAATAAAGGCAGGAAAAGTCAGTCTAGTAAGCCACCAGTAAAACCTACCGGTAGTGGATTAAGTGGAATTTTTAAGAGCGCAAGGCTCAATAAGGAGAAACCAGAAATTATCCCTGAAGAACTTAAAAGAAGTAAATACTGGGGAGCTGGGGAAGGAGAGGCTAGCGGCTCGACTCTTCAAAAAATACAGAGAAAAGCGGAAGAAGAGGGAAGTCTCAGCGAAGCGCTCCCCCAAAGTTCCAAAACAGACTTCTTATTAGAAAATACGGAAGTCGAAAAGGCAGAAGAGCAAAAAGAGAGATTACCTGAGTTTGAGGCAAAATTTGAGGAATTTCCTTTTACCGAAGAATCGATTTTTGATAAAACTTTAATTGAAACCCCAGATAAAGTAAAAGATAAAAATACAGCGGAAGAGGATAGTCCTCTAGATTACGATAGCATTCTGCATTCGAATCCAGAATCTGATCGGGATTCTAATCCAGACCTGAACCAAACAGTCTTAGAAAGGTCAGCGGAACTGCCCTTGGTAGATAATTCCAGCGTTTTAGAAGATAAGAGAAATATCGAAGAAATAGAAATGACTAACGGAGATGACAGAATCGTTGATAATGTACTACACGACGAAAGGCGTGAAAATCGTTTAGAACAGGAGGAAAAAGGTGAAGATAAATTAATAAAGGCAATGACTGGGCCTAAAGTAAAATTGCCGACACCTTTTTCTGCATCATCCCATGAGGACGCTGAGCAGTGGTTGGAGTCATTTGAAAGGTGTGCGGATAGTTATCGATGGGGTGATGTCGAAAAGGCAACCAGGTTTCCTGACGTATTAGCAAATACTGCTCGAAAATGGTATAAAAGTTTAGAAAATGAGGATAAAGATTGGGAATATTTAAGATCAGGATTCTTAGAGGTTTTTGCTAAAGCAGGAAGTAAAGATAAAGCAATGGAGGAGCTTTTGAAAAGACAGCAAAGCCCTAAAGAAGATTTTAGAACGTATTTTTTTGAAGTCATTGATTTATGTAACAAAACGGACATGGAAGAAACCGAAAAAGGGTTTTTTGTATTGAGAGGGATGAAGGACCAAAATATAGCAGCGCAAATTCGATTAATGGGGAAGAAAACGCCTAAAGAAATTTTACAACTTGCACAAGAACTTTACCCTGTAACAGGAGAAGAGAAAAAGTCCGATAAAGTATATTTTTCCCAGAATACGGAAAAGAAACAGGAAAGTAACGATAAAGTAGATAATTTGGTCTCGCAAGTGCAAAAGTTAATTAATACAAAAATTTATGTGCCGTATAATAATAATAATAACAGAAACGGTAATTTTAACAGGAGTAATCGATTTAATAATGAGGCGATAGAGGAAACGGTAGAGATTTCAATAATAACAATAATAATAATTTCAATCGCCGTACAAGAACCAGTAACGGCAGACCTATCTGCTTTAATTGTAATAAACCAGGGCACATCGCTGTCAATTGTTGGCATAATAAAAATAGTGGAACCAATAACAGAGGAGGAGGGAATAACTTCAAAAATAATGACAGGAGAAATAATTACGGAAATAATTCTAACGGAAATTTCAATCGAAATAATTATAATCGCGATAATAATTCCAGTGATTCAACTAATCAAGATAATCGTAGCGGAAATAGGGAACATAATAATAACAGGAACCCAAGACCTACATATCCTACACTTCCGCCGCGTGGGCAAGTCGGTCAGATAGATCATGAAGAAGCCTTTGAGCCGTACGAAGAGGATGATGACAAAAATTCGCATAATGTTAATATGATTGCCCGGGTTAGAGATAAATTTTTTCAGCAAAAGGATAAAAAGAAATTTAAAAGCTGTTTAAGGACCGACGTTAAGGTCAGCAATAGCCAAGTATCAGCGTGTCTGGACACGGGTGCTGGACCTTCGTTAATAAGTCATAAATTGGTTGAAAGATTAAAATTAAAGACTATACCATGGGAAGGCTCTACCTTGAAATTTGTTGAATGTACGCGAAAGGTAGAAAAGGCGTGTGAGGTACCAGTAGAACTTTTGGGAAGAAAAGTAATTGTTTTCGCTGCAGTATTAGAATCTAACCATTTTGATGAAGAATTGCTACTTGGCAACGATTTTTTAGACAATATTAAAGTTGTTATTGATTACCGTACCAACCGATTATATTTTATGGACCACGGTCCATGTAAAAAATGTGTAGAAAAAAGTAAAAGTGTTGTTTTTGATAACACGTATGACGGAGAAACCCACGTTAATTTTGGAGAATTATTTAGTACGGATTTTATAAGGGAAATCGAAGTGGTTCCAGATAGTAATAAAAAAGAAGAAAAACCCTTTACGGAAAGTCACGTTGATTTCGAAAAGATTCATATTGCGGAAGGATTATCGAAAGAAAATAAAATTAAGGTCATAGCGCTAGTCGAAAAATATCAAAAATTGTTTCCTAAGAAAGGGGAGTCTATAGGTCGTACGCACTTAACTGAATTCGTGATCGACACAGGCGACCATAAACCGCTCCATTGCCCACCGTACAGGGTGTCCCTAAAGCAACAGGAAATAATTCAGCAGGAAGTTGATAAATTGTTAAAATTAAAAATTATCGAGCCT